TGTAAGCAAGGGATCCAGTGTAGTCCATCCTATGCTTCAGTTGATTTACCTGCTTGTATATATTGGGTGTACAGTACATTCTAGGAGTGTTCTCTGCTGTGGGATACAGATATCTGTATTGGCCTTCGATAATCTTACTCTCTTGCTTTAACTTTGCCAGGATGGCTATAAGACGCCTTTTAAACTTTTGAGTTGGATTGGTCTGCAGCTGTTCATATGTCTTGTTGTCTTGTAGCTTTATTTTGACCTTGGCCTCATAATTATCGGTGTCCATGACAACTGTTGCCTTCCCCTTGCCAGCTGGTAGTATGGTAATGGATTTGTCTCTGCCTAATTTTTGGAGTGCGACCCGTTTTTCTTTCGTCATATTACTTGTTGGTAATTTTGTGGACTTCAAAACCCCCGTCACTTGGGATCTCAGTTGATCAGCCTCAGCATAGCTTAGTTTCTTACATGCTTGTTCTGTGGCTATAACAAAATCATCAACTCGGATTTTTATGTTGAACGGTGGCATAGTTCATACCCTTAGCGAGTAATGTTTCTCGCTACTGGTGAGCTCCTAATAAGAAATGTTGACTACCGATTTTTAAAGCATAGAATCATTCAGAGCTGCATCTGTGTTGGTGTTGTGTTATGTTGATTTCTCTACAATAAGGTTTAATTTAGTAAAGTGGCGTTGTTTGGTTGTGTCGAACGCTTGTTCATATCCCCTACATTGTCACTGGATAAGCGTTGGGTCAGTTTTTCGGTGATTACTGCTACCTCGTGCTTGTATGCGTCCCTTTTTTTGTTTACAACCCGTATTCTCTTTTTCAAAAGATCTTTCTGTGCTTTCTTGATGATATTTCTAGAATTTGTTGTGTTAACTGGGCTCCTAATATTCAGACTTGAAGGTGTTAGAATTATGTAAGTCTCTACATCTCAGCGTAAACACAAGGTGATTTCTGTGTCTCGCTAATTTCTTTTCTAGGCTCTCTTACTTCCGCACATCTTTGACAATATCTTGTCCGTACTTTGTTCGGATTTTCTAAACATTTACTTCAGGTTGGTAAGTATGGATTATGAAATTTTCTTTTTTACACAACCAATAATAATTTCAATGTGACGTTTCGATGACTAGTACGGTATGTACACTGTCACCTTCATCGGGCAAATGACCAGTGAAGCGCATGCACACAAAGGTGTAAAATATGTACGAGATGTCGATTAGGCTACGCTGTAAGCACATGTACAATAATAGTTACTTACAGCGTAGGCGAATCGACATTGATACATGCAATATCGCTTGATATACCAACGGGCGAGACATGAAGGTCAGGTATAGTGCAATTATCAATAAAATATTGTATCTCATGCAAAAAACTTTTATGATCAAAACAGTCAGGGCAGATAAATAAAATCAGTAAAAGAGCATTCACTTGATTACGGATATTTTATTATAAAAAAACCACCATACATATTAGATCAACATTGTAGTAACACAAGTCTAATAAAACAATATTGTATATCGCCCATTATTTGGCATGTCTCTGCGCTTCTAACTTGAAGTTGAGAAGTCCTTGCATCACCACAATTGTGCATATCTATCGCGTGTGTCTGTCTTTCATGAAGGTGATTTCAAAACATGTTTCTTATTCTTCAAACGCCTCCGTTATAGTTGACATCTGTTTGGAAAACACAGAAACTGTTCTGTTGACTTTCTTTTTATTTGTCGTTGATATTGGCTGAAAAACTGACGACCATTCCATCACGTCTTTGGATGTCAATGTCCGAAATGTCACGTGACTGTCCTCAGTGACAACCATAAAGTCCCGGTCACTGCACAACACTTCGCTGTTCTGCAGGTTCATATGTAGGGATGTGTTTTGTTCAGTCTGACTTTCACAAACTATAGCATAATGTTCTAAACTGTTCCAATACAACTGAACAAACACGGGGATATTTTCAATATTTCCATCCACGTACCTCAGCATGTAGAGATGGCCGGATTTCATTTTCAGCTTCTCGCCCTTCACAGCGACACTTCGGCAATTGCATGTCTTTTGTTGAGCATTCATGATGATATAAAAACCAGCTAAGCAGTAATGGTTTATGGGTACGCAGACGTGTGTTTATGTCTTTTTAAATATTTGATGTGAAAGAATTACAGCGACGTCTTCAAAATCTGGTATGTTGTCGTCTGCTCCATAGAATAGCTAAGTCTGCTCTGCTGGTACTGTTACTATTTTCAATTTATTTATATACTCTCATAAACCATTGACTTGTATAAAGTGAATGACGTAAGCGTTTGGAAGATGAAGAAGATAAATATGAAACGTTGATGGTGATGATTAATCATGGATTCTTATTGGTCTATATCGTTTTTGACGTCATATATGTCATAGAAAGCATTCGTCGGAATTAAACCCGAAATACAAAAGAACTTTTGGAGTTATCTCTTAGAAATCCAATGGTGTCTTCATATTTTATTAAGATTTTATAAGATTTAAATAAATAAATCTGAATTGCTTATGAGCAGTATTTTTCAACTTCATAACCTTTAATGAAAACACACACACACGTGTAGCACTGCGTGAGAGAGCTATTTATTCAGCAAGAGGAAGGTTCTGTTCGTTTGGGCAGTTGTGCCTGAAGTTGATCTCAGGATTACGATGAATGGAATGAGATTCATCTGTGTGTATTAATACTACGTGCTAAGTTTGTTCTGAATACAAACAGTAATTAAACAGTTATTTTGCTAGCTTTCAAAGACGACTGCTACCTGTTTGGCTCTTCTAGGACTGATTGTTAGTTGGGGATAAAAAGGTGGAAATCAAAATGTGTTGATGAAAAAGAAGGGGAGGTGATACTTTTAGATAAAAGCAAATATCGAAATACCTGTTAATTTCAAATGAACAACAATGAAACTGTGTATATCATGAAATCGATTGATATCTAAAGTGATAACTACTGTAAAATAATCCAAAGCCACCTATATATCCTTTTTGTCTGGCTGAAACTTTCTCGCGCCATTTATCAAGTGCATAATTCATTCAGATTCTCGTACTAGTTGTTAATGATTGCCAGTGTATCTCCCTTCCCGTTGATTTTTTGTTTTTCTTATCGACGAATAATTATAGAACAATGCTATTCTTACTGTTTAAACTCCAAATTACCAACAAATAACATATTTCAAAGTACCTTCAGAAAATTTGCATTCATGAACACATGCTTCGTGCCATTTCCATACCCGCCATTTCGAGGAGGACCCAGATGCAAATATGTGTTCAGCCGAAGACCGTCTATCACAAGCTTTGTGGTAAGCCGTCAGTTTGTGTATTACTTCAAGCTAAACAGTGTTAATGAAAAACTGATTGCAGACGTGATATTTGATGGGTTTTTTAAACGTTCGTTCACTAAAATTTTATAAAATCAATGATACTTTCACATTGCCCACTTACACTTTTCATCGATTTTTCTTCAAATGATGCCTAGTGTTTGAACCGCCTGGTAATTTATTGCTGTGTTCACAGGTACATTGTATCTATATTGCGATTGAGAATAAAATACTTATGTACTTAAATATAGACAGTGAATGAACTCGTCTAGAAACGAAAACATGGATGATCAACTTTTACCCGTCGTCAGTATCGACAAAAGCAGTCGATCCCGACAAATGATAGCTTTTTATTTAATGTTAAAAGATGGATATTCAAAACTATTTATGACACTCCAACTTTATTCCTTGAATATGTTACACTTCCGACTGATACCTGTCCTTTGAAGATAACACAGGAGAGACGCCCGACTTCAAAGCCTGACAGTTTTTACCGTTACGTGACCGCGAGATTCCTTTGATGTACATCAAAGGATGGAACTAGTCTTCTTGTCTCATCAACAAGGTGGCGCACACCGAGCTTTCAATTTTGCTATGACATATTTATATTCCAAGTGGGCGTAACCCCTGGAGTATCGAGGATGGTTTCATCCGAAACACTGATTGAAACATATCGACACAATGAATAATATTGTTAAGGATTATTCTCAATTTTCATGAATTTTCTTCTAGCTATTGGTCTCAATAGTATATAGCCTAGGCTACATTAACCAGAGACATATAAAGCCATGTAGTATATACGTCTCTAGATCTGCATTAACTGTGATGTGCCTATACTTCACATGGATTTGACATTTGAATGGGCAAACATATATTTTATGTCGTACGTTAAATCATGCGGACTAGACATACGTTAACTGCACAACAGGAGAATATTTAGGGTAGAGATAGATTCCGATGTTTTCGCAAATATCATAGATGAAATTAGACGCATGGCCTCTTCAGTATACCACGGAATTAGATTATCTAAGTCCGTGAGTATACACAGTACTCAAGAGGAAATAAACCTTAGGATATTTTGGGTCATTCTGGTTCTAGGGACAACTGTAACATGTTTTAGATAGAGACATTTTTTTATAGGATTACCAGTGCCATATGTTTTTTTATATCAAAAAGCAATACTTTTATAAAACAAAACGTGGTACTTTAAATGGCCCGATATTGTTTTACCTCGGCATACTTACCGAACTCATTTGTTAGTAATAGGAATGAATTGCAATTTTGTATGCAAAAACGTCTTATAACTGATAACGATAATTCTATATTGTGATTGATATGTTCTCAAAACTTGTTCCTTTTCACCGAACAAAATTGAATTGAATTGAACTCTGATTTAATAAATGTGTGTGTTTTTATCAAGATAACAAGGCTTTTAGAAACCCGGCCAGCTTTCTCCATTATGGTTCACATTAAGATGACAAACGTATTTATCAGATTGTCCTTTTTTTTAGTCAATAAGGTATATTAGGTTCAATGTATACATGTCGGTTCCTAGTGCCTGAATTAATAACTACAATTCTTGTAAGAGTTATCGTTCCTGAATATCTACCCGACATCACTGAGATGTTTGACTTCCTCGTACTTGCATGTCTAGTATGATTGGAGACCTTATTGACGCAGATCGCCGTTGCTGAGTGACTCGGAACGCACTTGCCAGTATGTAAACATCGGGAATTTCTACAAACTTCAGGATGTAATTAAGAGTATGTATTCCAATAACAAACCGTAAAGGATTGAACTTTACGACACAATAATCACACATAAACGAAACGCTAGTTTAATGTTAAGGGGAAAGCAAGCATGTATAGGTCAAAAATGTGTTTTGATAACCCAATCGAGGAGGTTGCATCCATCCCCGGGGTTTTCGATTTCAACTGTCGTAGCAGTAATTGCAACCCCGAATGACGTACACGTGGCGCGATTTTAGAAATGATGGTTATGTATAATGTCTGTGATATATTATTCCCTTTTTATCCTGTTGTTCTATTTCTGCATATGAAAGTATCAAATATTTATTTTTTAGGGGGGGGGGGGCGTGTTATTTGGAGACAGATTTTAAAATTTCAGATAAAGAAAGTCATGTATTCAAAACATATATATCAATGGCACAAAACAAGGTGATAAGATTTATATTAAATGTACATAATAGACAGTTTGTCATACCAAGATTTTATTTGTGTAAACATGCTTGATATCAATACCAGGGCAAGACAACTTAGACTTAACCATATGTTCAATATTTTCCATGGAAAAGCTCCTCAATATATGTATCAATTTTTTAACAGGAATCCATGTCCATATAGTACTCGCTCAAATCCATGTAATTTTATTATTCCTAATGTAAAGGAAGGTTCTGAATCTGCAACTTTTTATTTTTCTGGTACCAAAGATTGGAATTCACTTCCTGAAAGCATCAAAAGTGAAAATAATAAATTTATTTTTAAATATAAGGTGAAGAGTCATTTACAGCTTATGAAAGGAAAACAAGAAAGTGAATATGTGTACTTTTAAAATGATTCTATGTTTTAGATTATTAAATATTTTACTGTATGTTTCACATTCAAATAGAAGAAAAGTAATATGTGTACTTTTAAACTGACCATCATGTTTTAATGGAATAGCAGTTTATTTTATGAATAATGTCCACAAATGTATCAAATAACGTATAACACAAATATTCAATTTTAAAATTGTACTTTAGTTTCTTTTAAAGGACCCCAATGGAAATAAGCTTTCAGCTTTTTTGGTTATCCTAGGTAAAAGGCTGCAATTTCGGTAAAAAATTCTAATCTTTTGATCTCATATATTAACTAGTGCTCAATGTTGTAATTTTAAGGTACAAGTACTGTCGCAAAATTTAATGTTGTACTGTTACTCTACTCTATGATATTTATGTATTGTAATATGCCTATTTTACCTGAATAAATATTATTATTAATTTACAGACAAACACACAGGGTGGCATTGACAACGACAGATTGCCAAGATGATGAGCTTGTCTGATTTGTACCAGCCTGGTACCTCAGAGAAAGTACAGGACTTGGACCATGACTTGAAGAAGGAACTTGATGAACTGAAAGGTGCAGTGGAGGAGTTTGAACTCCTGTTTCAAACCCCAGCTAAACCCATCAGGTATGACAGTGTTATTGTCTTTAAATAAAACATGTAGTTCTGGAGTACCTTTGTTAAAGGAAAATGTGCTGTTATACTTTTCATGTAAATAACCAACAGATCTGTTTGAGAGACCGCCTGTGTTAAGAGACAAAATTTTGATTCCCCATAGCAATTATTTTCATGTGAACTGGACCAGTATTAAGAGACCACCTGCAATTAGAAGACATTTATGGATTATCAGAAGATGGCATTTGAGTACAAGATTGACTATACAGTAAATTTTCTCTAAACGATCACCAACATGAATTTGTTTGATTTATGAACAGGTTAATTTAAAGTACAGTAGAAACAAATAACTGTGTTTACCAGTAGTTTGTTTCTTGATTATATGTAGAATGGTTTAGATTGGTTTGGTTTGGTCTAATTTTATTTAACGTCCTATTAACAGCTAAGGTCATTTAAGGACGTGTCTCTGTGTGTGTTCTGTATGCGTGCTTGCCTGTGTGTATGCAGGAGACAGAGTATGTTTGTGTACTTGCCTCCTTGTGATAGCGCATATCTGATGCCGACTTTATAGTGCTATCTCACTGAAATACCATGCCGAAGGCACCCAGCACCGCATTTCGCCCGATCACATATAATACTGACAACGGTTTAGACAGGTTATATATAACTACTTCATATTTTCTGAATAAATTGATTTTATTTAAAACAAGGTTTACCAGGAATAATGCTTTAACAACTGCACATTAGAGTTTATTCAAAATTTCAACTGAATTATTCCAATGAAAACGCCCTGTGTGAATTTTAGTCTGCTTGAGGATTCTACATATTTTCCCATTGAAATACCTGAAGGTTCAAAAGAGTGACTTTTTGTATCTAATCTTCAACTGATGAAAAAGTGTCAGTTGCCCTGTAGTTAAAACATTTGATCTTAGCAATATAAATGTAGTCTACTTTAATCATCACTGATAGATATTATGAGTTGAAGGTTTGACCTTTACTTATGGAGTTTATAATTTTCATTATATTTTCAGTACTGTACACATTCCTAAGGATGCAGAGCATTTCAAATTGGAAAGAAAGCTGGTGATATCACGACTACTCCAGGTATGGTAGATTATTTTTTCTGAATTTGTTTGATATCTACAAAAAAAGTAGGAATTGCTTGAATAAAGAAAAATTTTGTAAAATGTTCTGATACAATATTTTTATAATGAATATACAGCTTACTGATCATCCAATGCAAACCTTGCAGAGACAAAATGTGGGAGAACTATCACACTAGGGATAAATCTGTGGTATCCCATTGCGTGTTATTATAAGAGGTATCTAATGTTGAGTCCCCTGTAGATTTTTTTCTGTGCCCTTTGCTCATGGTATATTGCAGGAATTGATCTACTGCCCCGTACTGCAACACTAAGGACCTCTCTAAAAGTATATATTTTTCTGTCCTGTGTACTATTTCTTTTCTGAGATGGTGATCTATTTGTTATTTACCTGTGATACAGGTGAGTTAGTCCCAGCCTCTGTAGTGTATTTACCTGTGATACAGTTTAGAGAGTCTCAGCCTCTATAGTGTTACCTATTTGTTATTTACCTGTGATACATACAGGTGAGTTAGTCCCAGCCTCTATAGTGTTAACTATTTGTTATTTACTTGTGATACAGGTGAGTTAGTCCCAGCCTCTGTAGTGTATTTACCTGTGATACAGTTTAGAGAGTCTCAGCCTCTATAATGTTTATGAGATGAGTGTTTATCTTTATACAGGTGAGCGAGTCCCAGCCACTGAAGCTACAGGCAGATCTGATGAAGGAGGAGATGATGACATGTGATTCACTAGAATATACACCCAAAAGTCTGCCCCTCCTCCTTCACCAGGTAAGTACAATATGTAGGCCACGTCATATATAGGTCACTGTAACTGTCATAACTAGGTCACTGTAACTGTCATAACTAGGTCACTGTAACTGTCATAACTAGGTCAATGGCATACTCAATTTTGTCTCTTCCTTATTAACTAGTAATTAAAAATGTCATCTTCAATAATAAGGTCGCTGTTTGAGTAAGAACATTAAGCATTTAGATCAGATCATTTAAAAAGAAAATTGTGATGGGGCACTTTTAAAAGAACTGTTTATTTGCTGTTTAGTAATACTTACACTGCAAGAAATGTTCTTGGTCTAATTACTTCGTTTGCTGTTTAGAAATCATTACATGGCAAGAAATATTCCTAATCTAGTGGTCGAGGACCAGCTGATTTGGTCTGTATTTATACTTCCTGATACAGAGTTTCATGGTTGTCATATTATATCTACTGTAGTAAACTTTTAACACACTTTACTCATTCACCCCTGAAGACGCAATTGACCTCTTCCAATTCAAAGGTGGAATAGTTCATTATGAAATTTCGGAGGTGAATGAGTTAATGTATTGTATTGACAAAGTTATTATTCCCATGAAATCATCTAAAAGGCTCCTGTCTTCATAAACATTGAAACATGTATATTATAACTGCAGGTTTCAGTTTCAACCAAATATTTTATGAAAACCACTTAGCATAGCCAAAGGGTCATTTCTTTTGAACAAAATTCCTGCCCAGCATGTTTAAGAAACTGGGTTGGATGTTCATTTTGTTATTTCATGGTTAACTTTTACATTTATTTATTTTTTATAACCATGGATAATAATTTGTGATCCGCTTTGAGACGACCTACACACTAGGTTGTGATAACATGGTATATAAAAACTTCAAATTATTAATATTATTATTTCAGTATTTTCTGGAGAGAATTCAGCAGCTGATTCACTGTAAATATCTACACATGCTGAGATGGAAACGGTTCTGTGAACACACAAGTTCCATAGAGACACTGTACCCTCACTATACCAAGCGCCTCACGTATGTACAGATAATCAGTCACTTTCACCTCTGAAATGATCAATAGATATGTATAACATTCCTCCTAAGTCTTCCAAAAAAAGAATAAATAAAAAAATCTTTAAAAAGTTTTACAAAGAATTTACATATTAAACATGTGGCAACGTTTCAAGACCCGACTGGTCCCTTTGTAAAACTATGACCTAGTGAGCGATTTGTATTATTTACTTGTGCAACGATGTGACGAACTTGAATGTCTCTGTTTATATTTCACACATTAACTTAACATTGTAAAATTCTACTTTATGGTAGAGTTCCAAAAACAATATACTTCCGCTTTGAATTCATTATGATAGTTATATGTATTTAAAAAGGTCTTAATCAAATCGACTTGGCTGTAAGCATGTTTTGCTATGAGCCATTGAGTAAAGATGTACCAGAAACAATACTTGACATTAAAGGCTGGAGGAAACTAGCTTTTATGATGAACAGAATATCATATAACTTCAAGACAGCCTTGTAACAGCCAGGATTTTAGATAAACTTTTAGCAGAACACTGTTTTTTTGTTATACAGCCGAATAGTGGCCGAGTTCAATGACTGCGTTGCAAGAGCAAAGAGGCTTAGTGCTGCTAGAGAGGCATTTCTGGCGGGTAGCGACACGGGAATGAGTTACGTGAAGATTGAAGATCTTCTTATTTACCTGAGGTGGCTCACCTGTCACATGTACTCCATGAGGACCCCAAACCAGTTCCTCAAGGTACAATACACAATCTTTCTCCTTTGAGTTCATTGAGTTTTTTTAATCTGAAAATTATTAATTTCTTGGTTATTTTAACTCTAATCCTACACTGGAAACGGACAGAATATTTGTAAAACTTAACGTTTACAATAATGAATGATTGTTAAAAAACAAAACACACCAAAAAAAATAAAAATTTGACACCATGATGTGTTTGAATTAAAATGATCATTCAGTTCATTGTAAGGTTTGCATGTTACAAACAAAAATATGACTCATTAATATTTCCATTTGACAGATACTTCACTGGTTGCCGATCCTGTACAAAGCTGAGACAGTTCCCCCAAGTAAAGACCATGAGGATATGGTGGGTTTGACAAATACCTATATGATCTTTTCATTAAGTTTTTTGTAACTTTGTCATATACACATATGCCTTCGTGGGATATACATGTACTTTTGCTTCATTAAACGTTAACAAAGATAGCATGAAATTAAATACCCAGTGTTGACAATTGATACCACAATATACAGAGATTATAAAAGAACAGCTAGACCTGTTTACCCTTTACTGTTGAACAATGAAGATAAAACACCAATGCTGGCAATAGGTTGTGCAAAATTAAAATCCCCATGGATCATTTCTGTCACAGATTGGGACGACAGCAAAATATTAGCCCAGCAAAAATTAATCACCATTCAGTATTATCTTGATTCAGAAAAAAATTATGGAACTAGCAATCTTCAGCTTAGAAGTAGAGACAAATTGAGTAAGGTTTTAGAGGCCAGGCCCCGTATTCATGAAACTGTTCTCATGCTCAAGCATCAAGTTTGTGCTCAAGCCTCATATCTTGTTTCGGTTAAAAATTCATAATTCAATCTTATTTGAGAAAAAATTGAACAGACTTAAAGCGGAATACTGTTTTCAATGTTTACTTTCGACTTTTTGATCATTTGGCATGATTTCAGTGAGGTACAAGAAAGTTGGTTTGAGCACAGAATCAATGCTTGAGCATGAGAATGGTTTCATGAATAAGCGCCTAGAAGTCAGATAATAATTTTCGAGTGATTGTGAACATCTGAAAATATTTTGATAAATTGTTGTGTGTAAATAAATATGTATTGTGCACTGCATTCAAAACCTCAATCTGAGGGTCAATACAAAAGACAGAATGGGGTTTATGTGTTTTTTCCCCGTTTTTTTTAACAGTATCACTCTCTATAACCCTATCCCCATTACTAGGGTCTGATATTTTAGAAAGTAAGAATTTGCAAGAAAATGTGAAATGCTACTTTTTCCATGAAGAAATGACGCAAAATATTTTGGTGTTATAAAACCACAAAAAAAAGTTGACCAGGACAAAGATTTGACAGCTGGGATTTTGACACATTTCACTGACATCTCCGTTTCCTAGTCAGTGGATGGATTCTCCTTATATAGATTTTCTTCGCTGGACACCGGTCAAACTATATTACAGTGAAAATAGAGCAAGAACTGCATGAGATTTGAGTTTTAACCTTAAATCATTTCATGTTATTACCTCAACTCTTACAGGTTGTCAGTGTCTTGATGAATGAGGTTTGACTGATGTATATTTTCAGGAGGACACAACTAGTGCTTCTAAAATCGCATCCCGTTATCAGGACGACAACATGGGGGGTGGCTTATTCCAGAAGCCGAAGCCTGGTTCATCATCCCGTCCTGGCTCAGCGGCGTCTGCACAAGCTTCAAACGCTGTACCTCCAGCGCCACCTATCAGTGCTAATCTCCTGACAACGTCGCCACTTCCATCATCGGCTTTCACAATGGCTGCCGCTGCAGCAGGTTAGTCTTGTTAACTTGTAAATCAAGTCATGATTAGTAAAAGAGTTTTTTTTTACAGTTTCATTTTCAAATTAGTAAATATTAGAATGATGTGATTTAATTGAATCTCCATAATTAACTTTGAATTTCCATGTGTATCATTGAAGTTTATTGGCCCTAAATGATTCATGTTGTCCATAGGCCAAAAATAATACCAAAATAAAAAAATAAAAAAAAGTTTATTAGTCCTGAATGACTCGCATTGTCCAAGGGCCAGAAAATAATACCAAAACGAAAACAAAACATTGAAGTTTAGTAGCTTTCCTAGCTTAATGGGCCATAGCGCTTTAACTAGTTTTTAGCAGTACCAGGTACTACTCTCTAGCATGCTGATCTCATTTGTGCAGTTTAATAGAGTGCAACTATTGGGAGTAAAGTGCCATATTTAAAGAAACAACACACATGGTACAAACAAGAAAGTCAAACGCTGAATCTTAAGTTACTGTAGTTCAGTTGCCGAGATTCTACAACAGAGCCATGATGTCTTCAGTGTTATAATCATTTTCCCTTGTAGGTGGCGGCCTCGCAACTGATGAAGGCTCACTTGGGATTCCACTCAACGTGATTGACTTCGACTCTCTTAAGCCTCATCTTAGCTTCCTCCTCAACATTTATGGAATCAATTATGTATGTACCGGTAACTTTTTACATCGACCATATTTTTAAAAAAGATTTTGAGAAAGATTTTAAAATTATATATATCAACCACAGATCAAGGTAACAATCATTTACAGATTAATGTTTGTCAATGTTTGAGACATGGTGTGCTTATATATGCATCAGTTCGCCTAGACTGAGATCTAGGGTTAAACACCCAATGCCAAGAACAACATGTGTGTTTCAGATGTGTTGTTTATATAGGTACGAAATGTATGTGAAATTAGGAACAGCGCCAGGAAAACAAAACGTCATTTCATGTTTTCGATACAAACATTGATGTTGTACATGTATTATGATTGCAGGATTTGGAGAGCATACACACACCTGCTGATGAAATGGAGTTGTACGCAGCCGTAAACAGAAAATTCCGACTCCTATTCCTGCGTCAAGAAAGCATGAGAACGTTCAAGGCCTATGACCGTTTGGAGGTATGAATACATCAGTATTCAATTTTGCAAAATATATGTGAATACTTGATTGTTCATCGGGTAGATTAATGTATTACAGCACAATTTTTGAATTTTTCTTGACAAGGAAATAATTTCATTTTTACTTGTTTAATATGACAACATTAATTGTAATGCTTAAAATGGTGATAATTTGTTTTCACTTCTCTTGCAATCTTTCCCATGGTGTTTCTCGTGAAACCCATATGACATTGATGTATTTCTGACCATCAAAAAAGTATATCCCATCGTATTTAAATTCAAACCTTATGCTTACCGGTACAATTATGCTGATACATTTGTCCTTAGGTTTCTGGAGTTACTCTGAAGATACCGTACCTTTTCTTATTTCATAGTAGCATTCTTTGTAATTTTAAGGAAGCAATATTAAATATCTCTATCACAGTGAGTTTAAATTAGATGAAGCAAGGCAAGAGACCTTGTTGAAATTTGGAGATACAGTTTCAAAAAAATATATTTTAGGTTGGAATGGAGAACTGGGGCTCAGATTCCTCGACACACTCTCTCAGACAGGAAGCAAACTGGGTTCCCTACATACGCCTTCGTCCCGAAAAGGAACCCATTCAGGAGAAGAAATGGACACAGCTACGTCAGTCCAACAAAGTTGATGAGATCCTCAAAATCAAATATGGTTTCCTGAATATGGGTGAACCTAAGGTTTGTAATAGAGTCCATCAGGACTTTTTAACTAGATCTAGTCATTTTGTTTCAACATGCCATATTTTTAATGTACTTGCATGGGTATGAAATGATGCGGTAATGTTCCTGTTTAAAAAGTATAGTTTATGCACATATTTTTACCATTTAGTGACTACAGAAATTTTGATATTTAGACCGTACATATATTTTTCGTTAACATGAAAGTACATCCCATTAATTTTGATATTTAGAGATTACAGGATTTGATTTTGATATTTAGAAAGTATACAGTTTGTTTGCTTTATTAAGAGAGTACAGTATGTGTTTGTAATATTTATAGAGTACATGACTTGAATGTTATATTTAGAGAGTACATGTTTTGTTTTTGATATTTAGAGAGTACATGGTTTGTTTGTTATATTTAGAGATTACAGGATTTGATTTTGATATTTAGAGAGTACAGGATATGTTTTTGGAATTTAGAGAGTACAGGAAATGTTTTTGATATTTAGAGAGTACAGGATATTTTACGAGACCACGCAGCAGTTGTCCGCGACCCTGTCCCAGTGTTCCCAGCCTACGTAACCTCAAATGCGACCCCTTCTGGCTACAACACTGCTGCCACCTGGAGGAAAATCTACAGCAATCCAGATCGCTATACAGAGTAAGTTAAATGAATTTGTTTGGCCTTTAGAATATTTTTACTATTGTAGATCTAAAGAAAGATTGATTTGGAAGAAAGATATATATATATTGTTTGACTAGAGTGATGATAAAATCATATTTACAGGGTGGTTATTTGACAGTTTTTATAAAAAAAAAAAAGATTTAATTTTATATGCTTTGTTGTATATATGTATAAATTGTTTTTGCAATGTTGTAAGCACTAAACGCCTCTGATGACCGATCCTCTCATGTAATTAAATTTGTACCAAATCGCAAACTCTAGTACTTACTACTGATATTATTACATACTTATGTTTGTACATATTTTTCTACTTCAAATTACTTCCAATAATTTAAGGTTTTAACTAATAAACATCATTTTTTCTGTACTCTTGTTTTAGATACAACAGTAATTTATTTAATATATCTGTATTTTATTTTTTAGTGAGGATGCTGATGACGAAAGCCGGGAGCTTGATGACAAAGAAATAGAAAATGTTGATCTGACACAGTCCCGAGCTTCAAGTGCACGGAAACGTAAAGACAGCTATGACTACATGAACACAGTGAGGATGCTGGGTAAGATCTGCTTCCTATAAAAGCTTGGAATTCAATTAAATCTGTTTCATAAAAACGCTTTAAAAATTGCTTTATGTAACAGCTTATATGAAATATCTAAATTGCTTATTGGATTTCTGCAACCATACATTAACTAATATCTAAACTTAAAATCCTCGTGTCCTGAAATCATTATTATGACTTTCAATATGCATTTGAAAAGTGTACATTTTCCATTTTGTTTTCCTTCACTGGTGACTTTGTGAAAATAATCTTATAAGATAATGAAGAATTTCATGTGAATTATTACTTATGCTTTTACTTGATAACGTACCTACAAAAATTGATTTTATTGAAGAAGAACGAATCAATTTGTTTTACAAATTACAGAATTTTCAGCTGGTACTAAAGAAGGTATAAATGTAATGCACAGTTAGTTAATTAGAAACTATCGGCTAGTTGGAGACGAAAATTGGCTCAAGGTCTGTTAGATAATTAAAAACATAATTCTTATTGATCTTCATTCTCCTTTTACTAATATATCTGTTTAACCTCAGATGGGCTAATAATAATTGAAATTGTAATAATAGGTTGTATAGTGCCATATCTAATCTTAAGGAAATTATTCTAAGGTTCTTAATATTCAAATGATTACATACCGGTACATATATTTTCAACACAGAAGATTTTGAGAGGAGGCTTAGTCAAATTCATCTTTTAACGTCTTACCATGTGATCCCCTTGAGTCACTATATTTCTATTTAAAATTGATTTTTTTTAGCTAGACTATATTAATTACTTAGTTTCAGATCTTTGTCAAAACTAAATTACATTGTCAGTTAGCAACGAATGACGGGGAGAATTAATTCCAAGCGTGGAATATCTTATAAGCTGACAGGCTTTATGGCCTTTAAGTCTTTGTGTGGTAATGGCTGATCTTTCTCATCTGTAGTAACTAACTTGATCTGTTGATGGTAGTTTTAGTATGGGTTGAAAGTATCGAAATAAATAGCTTGTGTTAACATTGATTTAGATTTAGGCTAAGAAAAGAAGAAAATTTTCATTTTGTCATAAGAAGCAAAGCTAGTGTGTGAAAGTAGAATTACTGTAGAGAAAATCACCTCCATGTTAGAAAAACAGGTACATATTTAGATCATGGAGTAACCATTATCCACAGTAAGATTTTCATCGAAAAGTTTATTGAAATGTGAGAAAAGGTATAGATGTTGGGGAAAAAATAGACAACAGCCAATGTTTAAGCATCATGTGGACAATATCAAAAAAACGTTTTCACTTTATTTGAATGTGAAACATAGTTAGGAAGAAGTCTGAACTACTTGGTAATGTCTATGGTATATTACAATGGTGAAGGTTTGGTAGAAAAGTAAGTATATCACATTTCATCATTGATAAGTCTTAATTACTTAGCATCGGGCAAAATGGCTTGTCACTGTACCGGACTTATTACTGAATTTCGACACTATATACAGGAAGGAGTATTTGACTGGAGAGAACCTTCACATGTTAAATTGGTTAAAAGTTAAGAGAGAATGGGCTTAAAGGTACATGACGACAAAGCGTGCAAATGTCTTGAATACACCTCTAAATGAAGTAAATTCACTGTATCTCTCTTTTGAAATAGTCTTTCGTCACAAGGGTCATGTGACTAATAGAAACCTTTATATGTACATTAGATTACTGGTTCATTTAAGGTTCTAACTTGGTAATCACACAATGTTTTCAGCAGCCCCTGTAGCAGAGTGTTGTTCATTATGAAAATAAAAAGTTTTTTTGTTGATGAATTAATAACATGTATCTAGTCCTGATTTGAAATCTGTGCCTGTTTTGTTTGCAATTATTTATATGTATGTCCTGGTTATTGCTTCTTTTGATAATTATTGTGTTAAATGTTTTTCTGTAAATATACTCCCATTCTCAATTCTCTTTTTTTTTGTTCTTTTTCATATGAGCTGAGTATTTCATGTTAACATATGATCCATTTTTCAGCAGCAGGTGTAATTTGGGACAAGCTAGGGAGGCTTAGATCTGTCAGTACAGGAAAGCCTATACATGGAAAAATGGGGATTATACTATATATATATGCTTTACAAGATGTTTGGAGCAGATTTTTCTGATAGCGAGAGTCTTACAGTTAACAAATCATCTTCAGTCACCCATATTAACTATAAAACATGTCTTTTCCCCGTAGGTATGGATGATGGAAAGGAGGACACAGATCCAGCAACTGTTCAGGGGGCTTACCTGTCCTTTTTACACCTGCGGCATTTGAGACTCCGGGACCTCCACCGAACAGTATGTGACATATCAATCTGAAATTAACAACTCGAGACACAATTATTCAACAATTTGTTAGCTGAACAATTCTTTAAAAAAAAATTAAAGATACTGTTATCCTGTTAATTGTAGGAGATGGGTAAACATGAGAAGAAATACATGGAGTTATAAAAATAAACCTACTGAAGTAATATAGTATAGGCGGTAATTATATGTATATTCATGTGAACTCTTTATTGCTCGTAATTTCGTGATGTAAAATACATGTAACAAGCAAGCTGTCTCACCGTACTCACTGATAATGCTTGGGTAACTTACAGGTTCTGAGTTGCTTGAACTACTACCGCTCATTAGAAAGAACACTTTCCATAAACGATGCTGGTCTGACGCAGGAGGGAAACGATTTCAAGAAGACATTGTAAGTAGTACGGACCAATCAGCTGTCTGTAGTGTCATCAGTCTTAGGACTACATGTATTAATACCTTCTTATTTTTATGCTGCATATCATTATAGCATTTTTGTCCCTCAAATATTAGTAAGTCAACTTTTCCAATTTATTGGCTCCTTAATGAATCTTAAAAATAATTTAGCTAAATGTTATCATCATTCAAATTTAACTTAGGTATCACATTATTGCAGTCATTGATAAAATAAATTATATAATTCTACTCACACATATAGCCCACAGAACCATAGACGATCGACAGAGCATGATGGGACAGTTGGAGGAGGTGGAGGTATCGGTAACCATGGTTACATCCACAACACACCAGCAGACTACAAGTAAGATATCCAATCAAACATTTATATTCTGTGCATTGTCAATATTTTAAGAAGTTTTAATCTTGTACTTGGATTTCTATTTGATCGAAAGTTTCTGTGAAGAAATGATCTATCTGTGATTGGAGGGGGGGGGGGGTAACGTTATTTGAGAGGAAACTTGATTACCTGGAGAAAACCCACATGGTCGGGCAGGTGACCCCATACCTTTTCACGTCCAATCGGGGAATCAAACCCCAGTCACCTTGGTGAAAGGCAGGTGCACTATCCACTGCACCACCATGTGGAAACAGATATTATGTTTTTAATTTTTAAAGTCTACTACAAAGTCTGGGATTAAAATTCAGTGATTTCTTTTCCATCAAGGTTGAATGAATCGGAGTTTATCCAGTATGCTGATGTGGATAACCATGATGATTTCTACACGATCGAGGAAGGGCGTGTTCATGTACATGATCAGCGTGGGTACTTCATCATCTACGATGCTGCAGAGGCTGACCTCAAGTAAGATTACAATTCAGAGGTCAAGGTCAATGTACCTAGACCAACCTCATGTAAAGTCATATAAAAGAGGTCAAGGTCATTTTACTTACTCTCACTTAAAGCAAGGTAACAATATAGGGGTGAAGGTCGTTACATCAGCAAATTTATACTTAGCGAAGACACATTTGAACTCTACCATTTCAAAGGTTGGAATAGCCCATTATGAAATTTCAGGGGTGAATGAGTTCAGAGACTACCCATTGGAAGTCCAAATAGTCATCTCTTAAAGCTGACAGTGTAATATAACTCATGCACCCCTGAAATTTCATAATGAACTATTCCATTCTTTGAATTTGAAGCGTTCAAATGTGTCTTTAGGGGTGAATGAGTTAATATTCTCTATTGAGATAAAATCAAATCAAGAAAGGGGATTAATGGGTCATTTGGTTCAGATAGGCATCACTTGATGTGTTTTGGTTCTTGATGAAAACATGGATTCCTTTCGTTTTCAGAGATCTTGAGAAGGACTTGTTACTAGTAGCAACCCACTACATAGAAAAGGACCGAGACTTCAGGCAGCAGTCACGCATCGTCAGATCGTCAGACTCCATGAAACGAAGACAGGTATAATTCACTGATGAGTTATGAATTTTCCAGAAAAGCACTCTAAATAATTCTTGCAAATCATTGTACATTAAAACCTAGTGTAACAAATCAGAGAGACCGAAAAAAAACACCCAATTCATTAAAAATATCTATTTTATAAAACTTATGCTTAATTCTTGGTGGGTTTTTTCAATTGATTTCTCTTCCTTTCTTTAGTTTAAGAGTTGAAGATGTAAATATTAATCTGGATTATTAACATATCTCTATTTGATATTATATCTTTGAATTTACATGATCATTTTGATAATTTTTAAAACATAAATGACCTAAAAATTTAACTGAGAATGTGATCAACTGACCAAAACCATTCCTTATGTGGACATTAAAATAAAATTTTGAATTGATTAATAGTTGTCTCTTGTTGACAAGATAATTTTATGGTTCAGATATCAGAGATGGGTCCCGGAGATTTCGACATCGCCAGCTATGCACACCAAGAGGTGGACAGATTCGGGGTCCTGATGGACCTGTGGACAAACGAGGCTGCCTACCAGGAGTGTAAGCGTGAGGTATGCATGACTGCACAGGGAATGACACCAATAAAGTTCTCAATAGAAAAAAAAATCAATGAAGTATAGAACATAATGGCATTTTTCTGGAGCATTATTCAAATAGTATTTTTTTTTAAATTTTGTATTTAATTTGATTTTGAATAAAAAAAGCAGGGTAACATGGCTTAATTTCCAAATATATGGAGCATAAACCTTTGCTATTGGCACACTTGATAGTGGAAATAGCTGTTTTGAGAAGTGATGGGTTGTAAACACTGTGTTGGTATAATATTGCAACAAGAAAATAATTTCAAGAAATAATTGAGTTAATTTTGATTCCGTAGCTTTTGGACTGTTACATTGAGGCGTATCAACACGTGTTTGATCGGGACGAGAAGCGAGCGCTAGCACAAGTCATCACCAACCTCATCTACAAACGGCCTCGCTTTGACTTTGATACCACCTACTTCGTGAAGACCTATAGGACGGAGTGTGTCATAATGAGACAGACCACATCACTGGTCAAGGCCATGCTTGACCGACAGGTAATACTGACCATACGTTACATTCTCTTTATGAAGAACTCTTCATACGTGGTTAGTTCAAGTGTGCTGTGCAGTGTATTGGTGAATGTCCTTTATGTTTTTTGTGGATCTATTTTGTTACTTCTATAACCCCAATTAGTTTTGTGAACTTTATATTTAACTGTGGTTTATCTTTTTCAACTTTAACAAATACCTTTCAAGGATTTTCAATAATATTTTCTCTGTCACCCACCAGGTGGAGCAACAAAGAGAGTATACCCAGAAAGTGTGCCGGGAGGGTGACACAGAGTTTGGTCTGCCCCTGTGTGTTATCCCCAAACAGCCTATCTCAGTGAACCTGAGCCGACCAGCCCTGAAGAATGTGTACATGCTTGAGTTCCACACTTCACTGTCCATGGCCAGCAAGATCCCGGAGGCACTAAAGTATGCCCTACAGGTCAGTAGCTCCTCTTTAGGGCGCACAAAAACACTATGTACATATATTAAGGAGTTTTTATTCAGAAATCATGCAGATTTCTTATTCTCAAGATTTGATTACTTAGAAATTTGAAAAAGTGTCAATTTAAACCTTGATGATGTTTGAACTATATCTCACAATGATATTTTTTTTTCCTCTGTAGGAACTTATACATGCCCACAGACCAGAGTCTGTGTACGACGCCCTCATCATAGAAAAGAAGATGTTAGAGGCAGCAAACAAGGAATGGAGTAAGATGCCACGACCAGGAAAGTCCTACTCCGACCAGCTGGAGAAAGATGTATGTAATGTTACGACTACAAACATATTTAACCTTAAAGGGTATTAGGGTCATTCTTTCAAATCATATCAGCTGAATGTTATCGGTCAGCTACACTTTTAGGTGAGAAGGCTATATAAGGTCACTCGTACTTGGCAGTACCTTGTAGATGGAGTTCCATTATAAAAGCATTTTTAGCTCACCTGGCCCGAATGGCCAAGTGAGCTTATCCCATGGTGCAGCGTCCGTCGTCCGTCAACTTTTTCCTTTAAAATGCTACTTGTCCTGAATGGCTCAGAGGATTTTGACCAAATTTGGTCAGGAGCATCATTGGCCAAAGGGTTCTCAGTTTTGTATAAACGGAGGGTATAACCCCCCTGGGGGCAGAGGGGCGGGGCCAAATAGGGGAAAAATAGGTAAATCTTTAAAAATCTTCTTCTTCTCAACCAATAGAAGGATTTTGACCAAATTTGTCCTAGAGCATCTTTGGACAAAGGAGACTCAAGTTTGTATAAACGGAGGGTGTGGCCTCTTTGGGGGCAGAGGGGCGGGGCCAAATAGGGGAAGTAGAGGATTTTTTCTCTCCTACTATACAAGTGAAGGGATTTAAACCAAATGCAGTCTGAAGCTTGGTCAGGAGCATCATTGGCCAAAGGGTTCTCAGTTTTGTATAAACGGACGGTATAGCCCCCCCTCGGGGCAGAGGGGCGGGGCTAAATAAGGGGAAAAAAGGTAAATCTTTAAAAATGTTCTTCTCCTCAACCAATTGAAGGATTTTGACCAAATTTGTCCTAGAGCATCTTTGGACAAAGGAGACTCAAGTTTGTATAAACGGAGGGTGTGGGCCTTCTGGCGGCATAGGAGCGGGGCCCAATAGGGGAAATAGAGGATTTTTTTTCTCCTACTATACAAGTGAAGGGATTTAAACCAAATGCAGTCTGAAGCATGCTTAGGGAGAAAAGAATCAATTTTGTTTAAACTGAGGTGTGTGGATTCCCCTTCTTTGGGGCAGATTAGTGGGACCCCTGGGCCTCTTGTTTTTTAAGTTATGGGAAAATTTTCAGCTAAGGAACAGTCAGGGGTCAGACATCTGATATTTGGACATTGTTAAGAAGAATTTACCATGATTAAACAGTCTTTTGATTTAAGATATTTTTTTCAATCTTAAAAGTAAAAGGTAAACATTGTAAAAAACCTAAATTTAAAAAAGTTCCTGAAGGATGCTTCAGACTTGCTTTACTTTTGCTGTCATTGATTCTATAAAAAAACAACTTTTTATGTTGTTTCAGTTGTTTTCTGAAGTGTTTGCCGACGATCCGTTGTTTATGTGCGAGATCGCCCAGAACATGGTTGCCCAGGGTGCAGAGGAGGCACAGAGAAAGCCAGCCAAGGAGAGACAGGCACTAATGGTAGCTACTGTCGGCAGACTCATGGAGGCAAGTTACATTATATCACGTGGGCAGACGCGAACGGTGTCCGGTCTATATTTTAAATAGTTTTCAACAGATTAACTTCAAACTTCATAGAACAGTTCATCGCCATAATAGCTTGGACGATTTCGATAACCGCAATTATGGGACCGTAATGTATGACGGGCATATTATTTTCCTCTTTTTTTTTTTTTTTAAGGTCAGCCTCGGTTGTCTTACAAACAAACAAACATTATTCTGAATTGATCTGTTGTCTTAGAAAAACATATTCCCATTGATCCACTATGGTTATTTTTTGCCTATATAATCCTATTTTGAACAGGACCTCATTAATCTGGAATATTCACCCTTCAGGAACTGTAATATTGATAAAGATAATTAATTTTCGATGAATCTGGGAAATTTGGTGTTCTCACTATTCTGTAATATTATTTTCCCCACACACGTTAGGTTGTAGTTCAGTATATGTATGGTTGTTTATGTAATTGATTGTATGTGACCTTGACCTTCGTGTTACAGGCGCTGACCTACCGTTATAGACTGATAGACTCAGCCTGGGAAACCGACATACTTGCCAAGGTAAGAATTTATACAGATGAAGTGAAAGTAAGGGAGTGAAAAGGGAGTAAATGTCCTACTTGTACTTCATGTATATATGTACATTTTTGAATTTTTAAGCTTAAATTCAAAATATGTAGAAAAAGATATATACATTTACAGTGTAATTTGAAGTCATTAATCATGAGCTCACTGCCTGAAAGTAAAGTGAGCTGATGCCAGGGCATACAATGTCTGTCTGTCAAATTTTCATTTAAAAGACTACTAGTCAAGAAAGGCTAAGAGGATTTTGACAAAATTTGTTGTGGAGTATCCCTAGTTGTATATTATTGTTTAGAAATTAAGGAAATACATTCATGTCAACTTTGAATAATCTTAATCTTGTTCTAATGTTATATAGGATCGGTTGTGGGTTATGGTAATTGGATTTGTCTTCAAACAAAGTGAATTGTTGGACTATGGAAAAGTTAAATAATTTCTTATTTTAACAATAAGAACATTGCAGAATGAAATCATGATAATATACTGTGCTGATAATGATAATATAGAATACTTACATATGATGATCTGAAAAACATACTTTCTAAGTTCTGGTCTTATACAGAAACGTCGTCATTAAGGCTGCATTAATTCAGAATGTTTCCTGTTATGAATTTGTTAAGAGGAACCATAACAAATTCCATCCATTCATGGCATAGACGAAAAAAAGCTAATTGTGAAAAAGTACATCAAAATGTTTGTTTTTGTTTACAGATCTATAAGAAGCAGGCGGAGGAGATGGGATACCACGAATCTCACATGTATATACGCTTTGTCCAGTTTGAGTATGCGTCGTACAAGGAGGACGCTGGTAAACCTCCACCCACCTTCATGACCCAGGACCAAGACGATGAATCAGCAGCTGACAGGTAAAGATTTATTACAGCTTACCTCCCCCTTCTCATTCCTTCTCACAAAACATACACAGATAGCTTTACGATGCACAGGTATAAGTCGGACTACTATCGGAGTGGGAGAGAACCAACGTCCTGGTTGTCTACGGTAGTAGGTAGGAAGTTATATGAATCAAAGATGGATACCCAACAGTATTCAGTATAGCCCAAAACGGAAAGTAAAGGAAATACAAGCTGGAGCTTCAACATCTAGATTCTGTAGTTTCATTATCGGTTTACATGTTTTGACTAGCTAGGGTAAATGTCATCAGAACAATGTTGAAGCTTCGGCTTATAATTTATCCTTTGAATTCACAGACATGTAACCAACTTGTCTGGGAAGGCCGTGAAGCTTAGTGTGTTTGACAGTGTCAGAACCTCTGTGTGATATAAATGTCTGAGTTTGAAAAAAAAAAACAGTGACAAGTTTGGTAGATACTTCTGTAAATTACGAGTACCGGTATACTTAAAAAAACATTTGTATAAATATTGAACTCTTTTTTTAAACCCCCTGATAGTATATAATGATAATAAAATTAATTGTAAGATTATTGTGTGCCATCTTAGCCTCACTGTAAACCTATTAACTATCTCTTTCTCCCCCAAAACACAGAAATAATATCAGTCCTCTTGTCCCATACTTCTCCTAATTTCTACCTTCTAATGCGATACATATCACTGAAGACCTTTAGAAAAAATGGCAGGTAGACAGTTCTACCATATCTGACCCTGTTTCATGGATTGACTATGTTGTGTTAACAGATATGTGCCAATCAACATGTTTCTTGGTATACACGAGTTGGATGAGGGTCACGTTGGTCGATTCAGCTTCCGGACCCGAGAGGGCGTCCTACAGGTAAGTAGAGCACCTACATTTTGTATTGTTATGAAATCAACAGAAATGGACAAATCTGTTATGAATGGCTGAAATATAAACTTTTTAGTTGGTATTGCTAGTCTGTTCTTTCTGAAATATGTACTGTAAAGTTACTTATTTTAGTGGATTTAAATTTTCAGCACATCATTGAATTTTAACAGAATTAGTGCACTCATGATATATGCAGTAGAAAACTATATATAGAAACTTCAATTAATGCAGTTTATGTCATAGCAAAATTGAAGGCTCAGTGTTGATGAGGCAAGAAGACTAGTTCAATCCTTTGATGTACATCAAAAGAATCTCGCGGTCACGTTACAGTAAAAATTGAAAGGCTTTGAAGTCGGGTGTCGCCTCTTAGTAATCTTCAAAACAGCTGTCTTCGTGCGTTCAATTTTGCTACGATATGTTTCAGGGGTGCAAAGAGTGAAAGTGATCGTAATCCCTGGAGTGTCGTGGATGCCAGTCCATATAGACATTAGAAAAGTTGAGGACTTGGATTGTATTTGTGATACCTGATCCAACAATTTACAATTTTTGTTATCATTTACAGGTCATGCGCCCGGGTGGTGTAGAAAGTTTGTCTGCGGTACTGAAGGCACAGATCGTACAGAAGAATGCCCTTCTGACTGCGGTTCAGCTCGTGGATGTCTGTACTCCACTGAAAGAGCCGGAGAACTTCAAAAGGTACATCTGCAGAGAACTGTTTCGGAAATATGTCCAATATTTATTGGAAATGTTGGATTGACAGATAGATATTAAAAAGATACTTCCTGCAGTCGGACAATAATTTGTGAATTTCACTAGAAATTTTATAATTCTTTTAATGTTGTAATGTTTTTGATACATATAAAAACTGAAAACAAAGTAATATCTGCTATGCATGAATATAGATACGAGCAAGAAAATTAATTAATCTGGACTGATGTCTTGTTAAAAAAGTGATAGTTCACTCTTTAAGGATTGTATTGATAACAGAATTTTGAATGTTTCTTAATTTACATCAATTTGTAATAGTTCTCGAGATCGAGAAGGCAAAATTTTGCGTCTCGGAGTGTCTTAGAGAATAAAGTTATTAGAACAGTTTCAGTATGCTGAGGAAAGTGAAAAAAATAGGAAAATAGAAATATTTGGTTATTTCAAAATGAATAAAAAATATGTCTTATTGTTTGTAGTGGAAGATTGAGTCCTACAGAAACCAAGAGTGAGAAAAGTTCCCTGACACAGTTGACGGGCTTCTCCAGTGGGACTGGGGGCACGGCTCTAGGCTCCAAGGGCTTAGGCAGGACAGCCCGCAATAGACCCCTCCCCGAGTCTTTTGTGTCCATTAAACTGGAAAAGGTATAGGACTGTTTAGTTTTGTTGATAATTTGAAAATTTCAATATACATATCAGAAAATATAATTCAGTCATGTAATACCAGGGGCAGATACAGAACTGAACTGAAGGAGGTATTGTAAACTGAATTAAATATTGACATGGAATTAAAGATTGTAAAATAAATGTAAAATGACAGTGAGTGTAATTAATTTATTGGTTCCCCTTCATGTACATCAAGATGATGATTTTGATTCACGGATAAATAGTCACCAACTGGTTCCTATAATCATGTTACAGATTTTGACATATTTGATTGCGAGTTTATTGACATATTTGTAACTTCCTTGGACCTCCAGCCAAGATATGATAAAATAGTAATTGAATGTAAAAATTATTTTGGGTGACTTCTAAAGACCCCGAGTCGGGACCTGATGCTGAATCAGTTTGTACACAAGAAGAGTCAGATGGGTATGCTCCTGAGGAATGTGGAGGAGATGGAGAAATTGAAGAGGTTTGTTGTGCGGTGTAGGCAGTTTATCTCACAAATGGCAATGTGTTAATGATTATAATCTATATCAAGTTTGTGTAATATACTTTATAAAGTCTGCTCTTCAAGCTTTACAAATCTATATACTGTAGTTATCCTGTAATTTAAGCCCATAATTACATAATCTCTGACTGAAAGTTGGGGGGATGGGCTTATTACAGGACAACACATAATCTCTGACTGTAAGTAGGGGGGTGGGCTTATTACCAAGCATGGGCTTATTGCTGGTTGAATACGGCATTACACATGCTAGAAAAATCACAGGAACTCCTAATGTCACGATGACAACTACATTAACTCATTCACCCCAGAAATTTCATAATGAACTATTCCATCCTTTGGATTTTGAATTTACTGAAGAGTCTACATGGAGTTTACTGATATAAACTTGGAATTTAATGAAGATAAACTTGGAGTTTAATAATATAAACTTTGAATTTAATGAGGAGTCTAATTGGAGTTTACTGATATAAAATTTGAATTTAATGAAGAGTCTAATTGGAATTTACTGATATAAACCTGGAATTTAATGAGGAGTCTAATTGGAGTTTACTGATATAAAATTTGAATTTAATGAAGAGTCTAATTGGAGTTTACTGATATAAAATTTGAATTTAATGAAGAGTCTAATTGGAATTTACTGATTTAAACTTGGAATTTAATGAGGAGTCTAATTGGAGTTTACTGATATAAACTTTGAATTTAATGAAGAGTCTAATTGGAATTTACTGATATAAACTTGGAATTTAATGAGGAGTCTAATTGGAGTTTACTGATATAAACTTTGAATTTAATGAAGAGTCTAATTGGAATTTACTGATATAAACTTGGAATTTAATGATATAAACTTGGAGTTTACTGATATAAACTTGGAATTTAATGAAGATAAACTTGGAGTTTAATAATATAAACTTTGAATTTAATGAAGAGTCTAATTGGAGTTTACTGATATAAACTTGGAATTTAATGAAGAGTCTAATTGGAGTTTACTGATATAAACTTGGAATTTAATGAAGATAAACTTGGAGTTTAATAATATAAACTTGGAATTTAATGAAGAGTCTAATTGGAGTTTACTGATATAAACTTGGAATTTAATGAAGAGTCTAATTGGAGTTTACTGATATAAACTTGGAATTTAATGAAGATAAACTTGGAGTTTAATGATATAAACTTTGAATTTAATGAAGAGTCTAATTGGAGTTTACTGATATAAACTTGGAATTTAATGAGGAGTCTAATTGGAGTTTACTGATATAAACTTGGAATTTAATGAAGATAAACTTCGAGTTTAATAATATAAACTTTGAATTTAATGAAGAGTCTAATTGGAGTTTACTGATATAAACTTGGAATTTAATGAAGAGTCTACTTGGAGTTTACTGATATAAACTTGGAATTTAATGAAGATAAACTTGGAGTTTACTGATATAAACTTGGAATTTAATGAAGAGTCTACTTGGAGTTTACTGATATAAACTTGGAATTTAATGAAGATAAACTTGGAGTTTACTGATATAAACTTGGAATTTAATGAAGATTAACTTGGAGTTTAATGATATAAACTTGGAATTTAATGATATAAACTTTGAGTTTACTGATATAAACTTGGAATTTAATGAAGATCAACTTGGAGTTTAATGATATAAACTTGGAATTTAATGATATAAACTTGGAGTTTACTGATATAAACTTGGAATTTAATGAAGATCAACTTGGAGTTTAATGATATAAACTTGGAATTTAATGATATAAACTTGGAGTTTACTGATATAAACTTGGAATTTAATGAAGATCAACTTGGAGTTTAATGATATAAACTTGGAATTTAATGATATAAACTTGGAGTTTACTGATATAAACTTGGAATTTAATGAAGATCAACTTGGAGTTTAATGATATAAACTTGGAATTTAATGATATAAACTTGGAGTTTACTGATATAAACTTGGAATTTAATGAAGATCAACTTGGAGTTTAATGATATAAACTTGGAGTTTAATGATATAAACTTGGAGTTTACTGATATAAACTTGGAATTTAATGAAGATCAACTTGGAGTTTAATGATATAAACTTGGAATTTAATGATATAAACTTGGAGTTTACTGATATAAACTTGGAATTTAATGAAGAGTCTACTTGGAGTTTACTGATATAAACTTTGAATTTAATGAAGATAAACTTGGAGTTTACTGATATAAACTTGGAATTTAATGAAGATCAACTTGGAGTTTAATGATATAAACTTGGAATTTAATGATATAATCTTGGAGTTTACTGATATAAACTTGGAATTTAATGAAGATCAACTTGGAGTTTAATGATATAAACTTGGAATTTAATGATATAAACTTGGAGTTTACTGATATAAACTTGGAATTTAATGAAGATCAACTTGGAGTTTAATGATATAAACTTGGAATTTAATGATATAAACTTGGAGTTTACTGATATAAACTTGGAATTTAATGAAGATCAACTTGGAGTTTAATGATATAAACTTGGAATTTAATGATATAAACTTGGAGTTTACTGATATAAACTTGGAATTTAATGAAGAGTCTACTTGGAGTTTACTGATATAAAGTTTGAATTTAATGAAGATAAACTTGGAGTTTACTGATATAAACTTGGAATTTAATGAAGAGTCTACTTGGAGTTTACTGATATAAACTTTGAATTTAATGAAGATAAACATGGAGTTTACTGATATAAACTTGGAATTTAATGAAGATCAACTTGGAGTTTAATGATATAAACTTGGAATTTAATGATATAAACTTTGATTTTACTGATATAAACTTGGAATTTAATGAAGATCAACTTGGAGTTTACTGATATAAACTTTGAATTTAAGGAAGAGTCTAATTGGAGTTTACTGATATAAACTTGGAATTTAATGGAAAGTCTAATTGGAGTTTAATGATATAAACTTGGAATTTAATGAAGATCAACTTGGAGATTACCGATATAAAGTTTGAATTTAATGAAGATAAACTTTGAGTTTATTGATATAAACTTGGAAATTAATGAAGAGTCTACTTGGAGTTAACTAATATAAACTTGGAATTTAATGAAGATAAACTTGGAGTTTACTGATATAAACTAATTTTTTCTTTCTCAGAGTATGAACTATGTATCAATTGTTTCCATGTCAATTTGAGCAATGTCTAACTCACTAGACTACTGTTCTGTGCTTTGTTCCTCACAGGAACCTGATTTCCGAGTTCTGCTACATGTTCAATCGACGGATGGCCCAGTTTTCCTTGAGAGGACAAATAATCGCTTACTACAACAGCATACTGCGTCTGCTGGAGGACTTTCCAACATTACGGTAACTCCACATTTCTATACCGTAAACAGTTATTTTGGAATCACATTTGGTTGGGTCAATATTTTAAACACAATGAAATCTCAATTGAATAAATATGTTTTGCCATTATGCGTTAAATTAAATTTGAATTTATAAAATGAATAATATTACTTTGCACTTAGATATAAATATGTAAATTATGCATTTTAATTGAACCAGTTTCTATTGACGTCAGGTTCAAGAGTGATTGATGTCATTTCAACCTCAGTGTGTTTGTTAGGCATGGGACCTGCTTCTGGTAGAAACAGACTATTATATAATTAAATAGTGGTCATAGAGACTCTTTAATGGTTACAGAGACTCATTAATGACTATAGCTACTTGTTAATGATTATAGAGACTCATTAATGACTTTAGGTGCTTGTGAATGGTTATAGAGACTCATTAATGACTTTAGGTACTTGTTATTGGTTACAGAGACTCATTAATGACTATAGGTGCTTGTTAATAGTTACAGAGACTCATTAATGACTTTAGGTGCTTGTTAATGGTTATAGAGACTCATTAATGACTTTAGGTACTTGTTATTGGTTACAGAGACTCATTAATGACTATAGGTGCTTGTTAATGGTTATAGAGACTTTGGTATAACTTGTGTGTTCTACATTGACAGGAACACCTACTTCATGCTGGGGGAACCAAGTGAAAAGAAGGAGGATGTGGACGACCTCTCTGGACTGACCCCAGATCCAAGGTACAATACAAACAGAAGCTTAAGTTAACTTGTTATAAAACATTATTTTGTTATAAAACACAATAGCTTCAAGGGAGAATAGAGATCACCCAAATAGAGATGTTAAATAGAATATAACAGATAGGTTTGTTTTATATATATATATAACTTAACTTACCCTATTAATATACGATTCGAAATGTAGAGAAACTAATTATGAGTTCCTGTATTGCCTTATTCCTGAAAGAATATAGAATCATCTTTTAAGAGTATTTCAGTTCACAATATGAGCATCACAAAAACTGTAGTCATAACTGAAAGTAAAAGCCTACAGATAATATTTTAAACTTATTGGAGAGGTGATTTTTTTTCTTTCTGATATTCACAACTGAGTGAAAGTACCTTTGACATAAAATGTAAATATAGGGTTCTGATTGAATACTGAATGACGATTGTTTATAAGCTCGGTTTAAAAACAAATAGTGCCAAAAAAGTCAATACATTCATGAACAAATAAATTAAAGCAAATGGACATCTTCAACAGACTTATGTCCTGTGCTGTAGACAATTCCAAAGTCGTCATAAAACAAAACGGTGTTCTTGATTATGCACAGGCAGAGGAAATCCCGTCCCCGACAACTTCTCACCACCGATGGAAAACACGTCCTCAATATCTGGTTCATTCCACATCACACGGAGGCTTTGAGCATGTTCAAGAAGCTGGACGATGCTGACTGTGTGCGTGCGCTGACGTACACAGTCATGATTGTGTCCTCGTTACACGATATGCTCCAGTACCTGTGTGCACACTCACGACTCGGAAGCTCTCTCGCTCGACTTGGGTCACGTAAGATGGAATTTGTATCAGCAGATTGGGGTGGAATAGAAGGCATAGGTAAGATTGTGTTTTTATATGTAATGGAATTGATAAAAAATTGTCTCATATTCTGAGTTTTGTCAAAGAGAATTTGAATTACTGTTACATTTACATTTTAAAAAGTAATTATAGTACAGATTCTTCAGAATATATTCAGGTTACAGAAAGTTTGTAATACAGGAAGGTGTTTTACTGTTCTAACTACTACAGTTAACCTCTTTATACTGCCATTGTTTGTCTAGAGAAATTTGGGCATTATAAAGGAGTTTGACAATAAATTGAATGAATCTTAAAACAAAATTCTCAAGAAAAATAGAAAAGGGGCCTTGAAATTATTGACAGTAAGTGAAGTGGCAAATGAATCGAGGGGCATTATATCAAGGTTTTACTGTATATGGACTTTAAATCAGCATGGTTTGAGATGTGCATCTTTGACCATATTTTAGTCAAAGTATTTCATTTGTATTTTTTGCATATCATGACTTACATTCTATGTAATCTTTCTTAAAATCATCTGCTTTACTGTACAATTTCTGCACTGCTGTCAAACATTTATAGGATCTGAGTTGAGAGAAATTCAGAAGCAGATTGACAGTTTGCCGAATCCAAACGACCCGGGAACCATTGCTGAGCTGCTGAATCTGCGGAAGGATGTAATGTTCCTTGAGTTTGATACAGCTGTCCGACACTGCATGACCGATACTTTCTTATCGACGGGCAACGTACAGGCTTATAAGGTAGACAATGATAAATATCTGTTCAGTTACGGGTAAAACAAAAAAAATCTTCATGGAGTAAGTTTTTACATTTTCTCCTTATGTCATTTTCTGTTAGATTTCAGAATTCAAATTTATTTGAAAGTGTAAGAGAAAGAATAAAATAGTTAATACAAACAGTGTTAATCCAAACTATGAATATCTGAAGAACATGTTCCTCTAATCCTTATTCTCGTTTATCCCAAGTCTTTGTTACTCTGACTGTTGGTTTAGGAATGATGCGAATTAATAAGAATTTTTTTTTTTTTTTTTTTTTTTTACAGTCAATCAAGCAGAACATTCATCACGCTCTACCGGCTCTGAGTAACATTCAACGCCCTGCTGTGTATAGTTCTCAACTCACGATTCCTGAACCGGTGGAGCCGAGGGATTTAATCGCACGTGAACTTTTCCCATACAGATCATTCCTTGGCAGGTATGTAGAATGGTCTCCTTAATTGTTTTAATATTTTTGACATTAAATGGTCTTTGTGGTTTTGTTAAATTAATATTGGTAGGAGTGTTAGAAAATCTTGTGGAAAATATTTAATGAGAAGATTTAACATTAAAAAAGAACATAGCACTTTCTACACAAGTTTGTTTTTTTTCCCATTATTTTCATTTATCGAATCAATGAATACCATATACAAATATTGTGTATTCCTTTATTTAATCAAATTTGGCTTATTGATTGTTTAATTTTTTTTTGACTATTTGAAGATTGATAGTGTGTAAACTTTACAGATTGGTGGTGTTTTTATCAGATATTGATCTAAGTTTTTTGTATAAGCTCAAATTAAGCTTGTTACCAAATCCTTTCACATATGTTTGAATATAAATGTATTTATGTACTACCTTATCTCTCTATAGATATTGTTCAAACTAAATTTGTGTATGATGCAGGACCGGGCCTTTCTCGTTGGCTCTTTATCAGTTCCACATGATTGAATACTACATACAGTTGTGTTTGGCGGGACTCAAGGAGGTGGACAGGTCAGTTCTGTGGATTATATTAGTACAGTGTATCTAGTAAACTAATGAATACGTTACTTAAAAAGGAAAAAAATATTTAAAAAAAAATAAAACAATCAACAATTAAAGATAGATTAAAAAAAACACCAATATATATGAAATTAAAATCTTAATATAGAAGGACGGAATTAGAAATGAAAAATGAATGGACCAATGAAATTTTAATACATGTACATGAAAAATGGAAAATAAATTTCAAACTGAACAAAAAATGAATGAAAGCTGTACTGAAGGACTTACCCTGTCCTGGTTACCTTGTTAGACACGTGGCTAACGGGGAGATCCTAGGAGTTACACTGTTGATGGAGGACGCCTTACAGTCGGGATACGAGGACCCGTCAGCTCTGGCCGATGTTGACGAAACAGAGTCAAAAGCCAGCAAGAAGGAGGGGCCAGGGTCACGTGGGGGGTCAAGGACAGGTTCACGGGCCACAAGTCGTACAGACGTGCATAAGGAACCTCAGGAGGGCGTTGTTGCCAAGATTGGTAAGTGTTGTATATAAACTGCACTACACCAAAAAATTCAACCTGTTAACTCATTCAACCCTGAAGACACATTTGAACTCTTCCAATTCAAAGGTTGGAATAGTTCATTATGAAATCTCAGGGCTGAATGAGTTAAACATATCAAAATTGTTTAATATAGTGCCTGGAAAGTGATATTTGATTTTGACCTTTGACCTTTGACACAGCCACAGGAAGTAATAGCCTATCCCGAACCCAGCAGCCAATAGAAGCTTACCGTCTGCTCAAATTCTTTCTCATGCAATGGAAATGTCTGGAGTTCCTGAAGTTTGATTGGGGGAAGTGGCGTCTACAAGTAGAGAAGATAGAGTCTCCTCATCTGTTCAAGGAATTTTGGTAAGTAAAAATTTAAAATAAATTTTCAATAGAGAAAAATTAAATCCCAGTTTAGGTAGTTAAATGATGGAGCTGAGCTCCTTGGTATTAGAAACAAGTCCAATAAAGATTTGGAGAAATTTCTTCAAAAGTGTTTTTCTCAAAATAGAAGACATAGAAGTCAAATCTAAACTCACCACTTAAAAATATAATTTTGATCAAGATAAACAAAGGGTATGCAGGACCTGTATCGACAAAAGGTATATGGGACCTGTATAAATCACCTGTTTCTGAATTGACAAGAAAATAGAACAATGTTTTTACAAATTGGAGACAACGGTGGCAATCTCATTCATTATTGCACTAAACAATTACAGTGTTAACACTTGGTCAGAATACTGAAAGAACCACTTTTATAAAAAAAAATCCATTACATTTACCGGTAAATCCTTCTGACTTTGTAAGACAACATAATTTATTTGGACCACCTTTACTCCAGCAAGTTATATGCAAAATAATGTAACTCTAGGCCTTGTGGTTCTAAAGAAGTTATTTAAAGAAAATGTTAATGACAGCTGAACAGACAACAGATGCTGGATTGATCTTACAGGCACTTTGTGCAAGTTGAGGTGTAAATGAAATAATTTCCTAAATGTTAAATAAAAATAACAAACAAGTGACTGATTTTTGTTTGTTGTCTACAGTAAACTGTACAAGACTGAAATTCTCATGCCAGTGTTGACGAGCATTGCTCGTCGTCTCGGACAGGGAGAAATGTACGAAGGTATCGCCTTAGACACAGACCCCCTTGTCATGCCAAAAGGGGCATCAGAGATTGAGGTCAGGTCTAAACAGGTAAGTTGTGTAAGATTTTGTGGCAACAGGTTTAAATTCAAGTTTCATCAAAGTCCTTCCAATAAATGCCCTTCTTTTTTCATTTCAATGATTGTGAAGTTAAAATAAATATATTTGTATATGTGTTGAAATATATAAGGTTGTGAAGATAATGGAGTCAATTAAACATCTTGAGCTTGTGTTTTCAAATATTTAATGTTTAAAAGTTTACTACTGATCCTATTATCTGTATAGACAAGTGTGGGTGTCTGATCATAAACCCTGAATCAATCCTTAACTCATTCACCCCTGAAGACACATTTGAACTCTCCCAATTCAAAGGTTGGAATAGTTCATTATGAAATTCAGGGGTGAATGAGTTAAGACTATGCTAGGATGAGTTTGGTAAAAGACCTCATGATTTCTTCTCTAACAGCTGATCAAATTGTTGGAAACCTATGAATGTCACCAAATTATGGAGATCCGAAAGAAGATTGCAAGGGAGATGACTCTAGTCACGACAGAGCGGGCACGGGAGGAGTCAGCATTATCAACAGATCTTTGGAAACGTCCTGTAAGAATAACTTCATAAACGATCACAATTTGACCCCATCTGACCTCTCTGTGTTACGCCATTAAGATAGGATACATTTTAATCTCTCATTGTGTTGATTTCAAAACCAGTGAGGTATTTAATTAGAAGAATTTACAAGATTTTTTTTTTTTTATTGCATTTTTATTTGACATCCATTAAATTTGCTAATAGAAATGTCCTTTCATTATAATGACTCCATCTTTTAATATTTATAGCATAAATTGCTATTAAATGTCCTGTCCATGTATCAAATTCAGAAATAACGGTATAATGACATTTTTTTTATCAAAAGCTGTGTAATGATTTAATAATACCGGTATGTGCTGCAAAATTCCTCCAAAATCTTTAATCATCATTTAAGCTGAAACAATCCAGATCATTATTAGATACATACTTTCATTCTCTTTAAGGCCATGAAGGAGAGTTTCACCATCAACAAACCTCACCTAACCGAGAACTTTGTTGACCTACTTATGTCTAACGCCAGAGAAGGGGAGGAAGGTAAGGAAGGGGAGGTAACCTTTACCTCAGAACACCTCAATCGCTGTATCATGGAGCTGGCCTCCCAAGTCATGGGCCGTGAAAAGAGCAACTTTGAAAGGTAAGGACTATTACCAAATGTATTTGTTGTTGGGAACTTGTCAGTTATTGAAATGGGATGAAGTTTGTTAGCCATGCATGCAGTGGGTGATAGTTTGATAAACAATATACTGGGTGTTAGTCGTAGTACAACAACGATTTCCCCAGGAGCGTGAATAATGTTGTTATCTGTCAAAAGTATAACAGTCTGCATCTCTTTGTATGATAACCTGTTTCTCTGTGTAAAGCAGTATGATAACCTGTTTCTATTTCTACAGCAGTATGATAACCTGTTTCTCTCTGTAAAGCAGTATGATAACCTGTTTATGTTTTACAGCAGTATGGTAACATGTTTCTCTGTGTACAGAAGTCTGATAACCTGGGTCTCTCTGTAAAGCAGTATGACATTCTGTTTCTGTTTTTGCAGCAGTATGATAACCTGTTTCTCCCTGTAAAGCAGTATGACATCTTGTTTCTATTTTTACAGCAGTATGATATCCTGTTTCTCTCTGTAAAGCAGTATGATAACCTGTTTCTATTTTTACAGCAGTATGATAACCTGTCTCTCTGTGTAAAGCAGTGTGACATTCTGTTTATGTTTTTACAGCAGTATGATAACCTGTTTCTCCCTGTAAAGCAGTATGACATTCTGTTTATGTTTTACAGCAGTATGATAACCTGTTTCTCTGTGTAAAGCAGTATGACATCCTGTTTCTGTTTTTACAGCAATCTGATAATCTGTTTCTCTGTGTAAAGCAGTATGATAACCTGTTTCTCTCTGTAAAGCAGTATGACATTCTGTTTCTGTTTTTACACCAGTATGATAACCTGTTTCCATGTAAAGCAGTATGACATCCTGTTTCTATTTTTACAGCAGTATGATCACCTGTTTCTCTCTGTAAAGCAGTATGATAACCTGTTTCTCTCTGTAAAGCAGTATGATATCCTGTTTCTCTCTGTAAAGCAGTTTGACATCCTGTTTCTATTTTTACAGCAGTATGATAACCTGTTTCTCTCTGTAAAGCAGTTTGACATCCTGTTTCTATTTTTACACCAGTATGATAACCTGTTTCTCTCTGTAAAGCAGTATGACATCCTGTTTCTATTTTTACAGCAGTATGATAACCTGTTTCTCTCTATATTCAGCTACACAATGTACTATGAGAACCTGATGAAGGTCCATCACCAACTGCTCTATCAAAAGGAACAAGAAGTGAAGCAGCTGAAGGACCAGGTCAAGATGTACCAGAATAACGTCCAGGTGGAGGTCCAGTGTGACCTGGCTACCCAGGCACACGATATGTTAATGGGTAGGTGCAAAACAACAAAGGTGAAGAAGCCAATCTGATATTTTAGAGTAATTGAATGGAGGCATGGTAGTCTAGTGGTAGGACGCTGGGCTCGTGACCGAAGGGTTGCGAGTTTGAGTCGCGCCACGGCACTGTGTTGTATCTTTGAACAATATACTTTACTCCGCTCGTTCCAGTCTACTCAGCTGTAAAAGAATATGTGGTTTGGCAGTGCTAGAATTGTTGAATGCTAGCTGGAGCGCCGAAATGGCAGCACCGGCTGTATGTTCCCCAGGGAGTTGAGAAAGATATTGGCTGGTTGCAAAAGCCCTATAACCACGGATAATAAATTGTGAACTGCTTTGAGATGACCTACAAACTAGGTTGTGATAAAGCGGTATATAAGAACCTCAAATTATTATTATTATTATTAATGATTTAATTAATTGCCATGATGATAAACCATTCTCTGACTCAAAGCGGGTAAGGGGTGGGCTTATTACAAGATAAGTAAATAGCAGTTTGTTGGGATTTCTTCTGAACTGAGTAGGTATGGTTGGGCTTATTGAAAGTATGTTGTTTATATAAAGTCAAATATGGTTGTCTATTTCTTCAGAGATCACTGCCCTACGAGCTAAGATCTTTGAAATGCGGCAAACGAGTCTAAACCAGGAAGCAGAGATACGAGACAAGGTGAAAAAGGAGTATAATGACCTTGTAGGGAACATGATGGAGGCATGCGACCACATCAAGGCAAAGTTTGACGAGTTCAGGTAAGGAAAACATTTTTATCTTGATTTCTTTTTCATGAAATTCTTGTGTCCTCTCTTGTTGATTAATAATTCAGAAATTTTGAAAAAATCATTCCTGCTTTCTGTTGCTTCCTTATAATATAAATATATGCATATGATCTTCAAACTTAGATTTTTACTTGATAAGCAGACAAAATGTTAGGTTAAACTTACATATAGTCAATGTCAGACAAAAATTAAACCGTTTATTTTTGCAAAATTAATGCAGGCATGAGTTACATGATGACGTAAATGACATGATCACAGACACGCGACGAGAAACACTGAGGTCCATGGAGAGCGTCAAACAGAAGACGATGGCAGACGCAGGTAAGTGTGGAGTTGTTCCCCCTTGGTGTTTGTCCTCTGTTGTAGAATCTGATTTGAAGTAATCGCATATAAAATATTTTACAATATTCTGAATCAGCATATTAATTTTCTGGTCGTTAAGTCTCAGAGAAAGGATCCTAAGAGGCGATTTATGTTGATAATTGGACGATGTTTAAAGCGCTACCTAAATACCTCATGTCCAGATGTAAATCAAAGCTGATCTGCATGAGTCCTAGTTCCGGGTTTGTTGTTGAAGTCCAATCTGGTAACCTATGAGGCCACCAAGTTTATCATGTTACTGTGGTCCATTCGATCTGTTTACTAAAATAAAAACTACCAAAAATATTTGAAGTGGAAAATAACATAAAATTAAAACTACAGATTAAAACATTTCTCCAAAAGACTATTGTGTATGGTTTTTGCCCTAAATTTGTATTAGAATTCAGAACTTTTACTTGAATTTTCAAAGCATTTAATACTTCCCCGATACAGTTATGGAAATGCTGAAGAGATCTTTCTCAAATTTCACAGGAAGGGTCCCAATGGTTGTTAGTTGTGCTATTCAAATTTAGAGATTGATCAGAAAACAGAAATGGCTGACAAAAGAAAACCTCACTTTAAAAAACAAGGTCAAACAGATGAAAACAAAGAAGAGAAAAGTTCACTCCTACATAGAACTTCTGAAGATGGTATGATGGTGGGTGTAGAAACACAAAAGGGTATCGTCCGTGCTTACACGATCCTCTACATGATTCCTACCATGTGTTTGCCATAGAGGGGTTCTACATCAATTGAATGAAGTAACATTGGCATATATTTAAGTACTTCCTTTTTGTATTGATTTACAGGTGTTAAAGTTATTAAGTATACAAAAACTACTTTGGCTGTTGTTATACAGTATTATAAGACTCTTTTATGCCTTAGGGTGATAGGATAGAGAAATTTCACCTGAGGGGTTTTTAAATTTGGTAAAACCTGAGTTTTTTTGCCAAATTAGAAAATTCTGAGGGTGGAATTTACCTATCCTACACTCTTAGGCATAAACAAGTATTTTTCTCTCATTCCAACTACCAGAATATGCTCATAAATCATGAAAATACGTTTGGACTGGCTACCATTTTGAAAATATCAACTTTTATTGACGAAAAACAAATCTGTCAGCAAGATTAAGTATTCCCGATATTTGCAAACAAAGTTTGCGCAGAAAAAATAATCTCCTTTTTCTAATGTGTATGGTAAATATTTTGTAAAGGGATTTAATTTCATCTTGTCGCCATTTCCGCATTGTGGCATCAGAGTTTTCCAAATTTCGTGACGTCACGTCATTGTCGAGCCATTGTGACATCACGTCACGTGAAATGATAGAAATTCCTTACACACCTTTCTTACCCTGGACAGTTCTATCTTACACACACGGAAATGAGAGAAATTTAGTTACTTGTTTTAAGGATATCACCTTATGGCACTCTTTCAATCTTTAAGGCTTAAAACAACCGGAATGTAAGTAAACTATATAAAAAGTTGCTTTTGTTTATTTTTTGTTTATTTTTTTTTTGCTATCTCCAGACCATGCCTTTGGCATTTGTACTTCGGGATACTCTTTTTGTGTGACAATCCTTCCGGCACAGTCGTGGTTACTTTACACACCCTTGGAAAGAATCTGTGTATTCTTCTTAAAAAATCCATCCCACTGACTTACTGGTAACTTGAATTAGATTCCAAAGTTTAGCTAAGTCCAACAAACAGCAATGTGAAACATATACAAAAGAACAAACGTTTAACTTGTCAATATGGATTAAAACACAAGCCAATACCGTTTTCAGTTATTAAGACACCCACCGCCCCACACACACACACACACACACATGTGCTGAGTGACAAGTGCTTGTCCTCGACATCTGCAGCAGCTGTTAACAAATAGGGAAATCTTTGAAATAATTGTTGTCTCAACACAAGTAGAAAAAAAATATAAAAAAACAAAAAAAAAGCTTTTTTAATTTGAACAAAGCCAATTAAAACACATTTCTTATCACTTGACCAAAAAACGTAACCATTATTAAGAAAATCAATGTATCAGTCTGATTTGGAATGAAGTGAATATTAAATTATGAAATAAAAATAACATTTAATAGTTACACTTTTTTTCCAAACATTTTTATTTTTTTAACACACAAAAACACCTCGTTAATAAGGACACTGGTTCACAAAGAAATGTCTACTTAAACAAAATTGATTTAGTTAAAAAAAGAAATTATAAGAAAATACAACTGTGTTCACTTTATAAAGGTAAAGATCAAAAACAAAAACCAATCTGTCCACAGAAAGGGAACATCCTGCGTGACCTTAAGCATTGTAGCTGCCGTTCCGTTTATGCCTGTTTCTAAGTTAATGGCATATTTTCAGCATGTTAGAGGGCAGTTTTGCTATGAGAAGCAGTCGTTGCATTTTTTGTGGCATTTAGCTTTACTAGCTTTCAGTTTTGTTCAGTTATTTTCATTAAGTTTCAGAGTAGAATAATGAATCTCCTATGTGTGAACAGATTTAGACCGACAAATAGTGATGTCATTTTTTTCCAGATCTGAATTCGAGTGAAAAGTTAATGGTTGAAGTGGTATCCTTGGTTCTGATTGACAGATTTCTTTTATACTTGTTTTCTATGGAGGCCGATATGGTGATTTATCAAAATGTAGATTCTACTGTGTGATAATTACTTTGTGACCAAGCACTTTTTGTTTGAGAATGACAGACAAAACATTTTGTCCAGTTTTGTTTGAGAATGACATACAAAATATTTTTTCCTTTTCTAAGATAGAAATTAAAATATTGCAAAAGGTTTAAAACTCCCTTCCCTGGAAGTTAAGTAACCTGTTTATCCTGCAATAAGCCCTTGACTGGTAATAAGCCCACCTAAATCTACTGCAGTTCGGTAGAAAAGCCAGAAAATGGATTTTCATTGCCCTGTAATAAGCCAGCCCATCTTCTTTGTGTTTGCTCCTTGGGCTTGTTGTAAGTGATATAATTTTTACATGAGTTTTCAGTTTAGTTGAAGTCTGTGTGTTTTTATAGACGTTTCTTCAATTTCAGATTTATAGAAGGGGATTTGGACTTATATGCATTGTGGTTTTATTGTGCAATGAAACTTATTGAAATAAACAATTGATATAATTTTCGTAATTCACATATAAAAGTGTATTGTAGAGCAACGGAGGGTGTTATCGACAGGGGGGTATTATCGACCCCCAGTTCTATTCATCTCGTTTTGGATCGATTACGAACCGTTTTTCAGACACTCAGTGTTTTTGATAGGTACACTTACCTTTTTCGGAATCCCTCGGAACCGTTCCATTCAGACAACACCGGTTAAACAAATTTTCTGAACTTTTTTTTTCCAAAGAGAAGAATCGATCCTGTTTTTACTTACGGGCCCCGATAAGACATGTTTGGCACTTCGAATTTCGATAACATTTTTTCTGAAATATTTGTCACATAATGGTGTAATCCAACTTCACTCATGAAGCGTCTGCAACGTTTGTCAGCGTATTATCTACATCCGGGGTATTGTTAAGGTCGGAAATAGGGTTGTCGATAACTGCCGCAATTTGAGGATCGGAGGTAGTTATCGACAGTATGTGAAAAAAATACCAATTAATTTTTGTTTTATCCATTAAAAGCATATTTTTATGAATGACTTGTAACTCAAAGTTGCCTGTATGATTTCAATATATATATATCGTGAATTGTGAAAGGTGAGAACATGTGCCCGACAACAATAGTGTGGCTAAAGTCTATCCAGTAAACAGACATAACTTTACAAGCATAACTAAAATACTAAAAAATCCAAATTTCTCAATAAAATCCATGTAGATAAGTCTTGTAAATATGCTCAATATAAACTGCAATTACAAATTATGAAAAATATCAATATTTGAAGACACTGCAGTCATATATAGACAGAATATAATATATATTGAAAAGTAATCAATTACATAGATCAAATGTTGATGAAAATTGTTCTGTTAGGCAGGAGGTATATAACTAATTATCTTGTGAACATTAAGAACCTAAAAACATTTCCACAATGATTATTTCAAGAAGATTCAATTATGTTTTCTTGAATTAAATTTCTGATCTCTATCATTGTAGGATAAATGCATCATAATTCAAAATTTTTGGGCTGTTGGAATGCATCACTGGGGATCAAAATAATATGAAATTGGGGTGGGACACCATATTGAAAGGGAACCAGAAAATGTGTTTGATCAAAATGCCGTGATGGTGACTGTTTGCGCATGCGTGCAGAAAAGGGAGCGTGTTTGTTTACATTTATGACATAACATATCACTTCACATGTTTATACCTTTTTTAAGCAATTGGACACACGTCAGAACAAATGAATGTATTATTAGAGATTAATAATAGAAATAATTAACATTTTAATTTAGCTGTCGATAACTACCTCCACCTGTCGATAACTACCCCTGTCATTAATGCCACCAAAACAATGATTTCTCCCGCGATTCGTCACATGTACGTTTATTGCAGATAATGAAATAGAGAACGTTTCCCGACTTCTTCGAAATGTCATCATAAAATAACTTACGCAAAACGGTAAACTGGAAAAACAAATTTGAAGCTTAGACTGTCGATAACTGCCTCCATTGCTCTAGTGACTTTTTAATAAAATGTAATTTGTATTACTATCTGCGACCCTAAAAATAAATGTTTTGTCATACAAACATAATACATGGAAGTTTATGTGTCCCCTTTGTAACATTGTCTCTATTTAAAAAAAAAAAGGAGCTTATTTGAGAAAATGATATTTTTGTAAAACCAAATTGAGCCTGCTGACTTATTCACATTCTTTGTACTTGTTCAGATGAAGAACTGATCCAGAGAAACCTTGCCAAGTCTGAACAGATCCGGGAACTGAAAAATGAGAACCACAATCTGAACGTCCTTGTCCTCAAGATCAAGGCCATGAACAATTGGAGACAGAACCACACCAACCTGCGTTTTGTCAAAACGGTGAGGATTGTAGCAAAATCCTATACAATACGTTAGATAAATCCAAAAATATTGAAATTCCTGAGTTTTTATTTATTGGGCTCAAAGATCCAGCATTTTCCCTTTTGCGATACAGCTCTCGTCTAAGCTAAGGCTGGATAGAAGATGGAATGTTTTCAAAGGTCGGAGGTTACTTTAAACTGGCTTTGGAAAAAGAAGGTTATCAACACATTTGCCTTCAATTCCAGAGAAATGTTTTAAAGAATTTGTTTTCTGTTTGAAATTTTCACAGATAAACCAACTGAAGATGGATGCTAACCATAGTAAGAAGGAATATGTTCAAATTAAGATGAAAGCAGACGAGAAAGTGATTTTACTCCGTCAACAATTGTCAGCCATCAGAAAGGCTCTCACCTCCACAGAGAAAGAATGTAACGAGATACGCAAACAGCTGGACAAAGAGGTATGACTGTTAGATCATCGGTCAGTTTTCATGAACTGTTCAGTGGCACCAAGCTTCATCCGCTTACATGCTTGAGTGTTCTGTTTTACAGTGGGACCATGCCTTCAAAAGCATCTTTTATCATATTATCACCTCACTTGAATGTTAAACCACAGACACTAGCATCCACTGCAGACCATTAATACTCATCCTGGGTTATCTGAGTTGAGAGTAAAAGGAGAAAAGCATCTCTCTGAAAATTCCATTCTATGACAAGTTTGGGGACTGTCCGACTGTTTGTGAGGAAGACCAGAGTCTTATCTACTTGGCCAGATCTTCCTGTAGACTGTCCGGCCATCTGTGTGGAAGACAGGAGTCTTATATACTTGGCCAGATCTTCCTGTAGACTTTAGTACATTATACTGTTATTGCCATTACAAAGGAGAAACAAAGAATCGTGATTTCTTATTGCAAGGGCAATAACTATTTTATTATGCTGATTTTTTTTTTATAAACAATTAAACAATAGTAGAGATGATCAGGTTGACGTGCCATTGTTGTCGTCTGCTTCCGTCATTCGAAAATAAGTTGTGATGGCTCTTGCAGATATTTCCCGAACAAGGGAAATATGATCAGGGAAAACTTGAGCATGTGAGGGCAACATGATGTTTTATTGCCTTGTCATGTGACCAGTATCATCCAATCAGACAAGCTGTTATAAAGATGAGGTATGATAAGATGTATTATTGTTTTGCGTCAACAGTTGAAGGAGAAGTTGGAGAAGACACACGAGGAAATGCAGCGAGCAGCCAGTCAGAAACAGCTGGAAATGGCTAAACAAGCTAACATAGAAAAACTGGTGAGTTCTGCACAGAGGTTGCACAGAGGTCAAACAGAAATTCAACAGGCCCATGGTCACTTGCTTCATTCCCAGTCATGTCAAAGCTAGTGACTAAATTTGAAATTGCAATTTTAATTGGGTGATTTATTACAGTAAACATGACTTCGTGTACTTTATACAGTCTTCATACAATTGCAATATGTAAAATAGTTTTATTTAATGTGAAGGTCGAAACATTTACACGATAAACTGAAAAATTGTTTTGTCAACCAGTAATGTCACAATTATTATAATGTGCACATTATTGTACAACAAATGTTCTAGTTAAAAATTATGTGTTTAGATTGCCCCAAAAGTCTATCTGACAAAGTAAATTTGAGAAAGATTTTGGTTTTCTGTACATATATAAATATTAATACATTCGATACACTTTGTTATCTAAACAGTCAATAAGGTACGGGAGTGAGTAACCCTAAGACTGAATTTCAAAGATCACATTTACCAATAAAATAGAAAAATTGAACTGATTTGGGTAAATGACAAGTGGGCTGCCTTTATTCAGCCACATGTATCTTCGAACTTGGCTATATTCCCATAGCAGCAGGGACTTAAATGGTCTCTCCGTCCCACTCCAGTTTTGTTACCCATTATATCATTCTGAAATATTGCTATATCAACAATCATGGTTCTCGACAGCTTTGTTTTTGAACAATTACTTCTGAACTGATACAACACCATTTTGGTGGCAGAGACATCCAGACATCTACAAGAAATTATGAAATCTGGAACAGAAAAAAAAAATCAGAATTTTACGATATTAGCATTTGAGCTATACTTTTTTTAAATCCCCATTGATGTGCCCTCATTAGAGCAGGCCTCCTCATTACATCAAATGTAGTCTTTCATTTTCTTAATGCAAATTCTTTGCAAATTTTGAAATGCAGTTGTGGAAAAAAGTTTTTGCAAAAGTTGCTTGACTTCCAGTTGTAAATTTTTAGGAACAAAAATTAAGATATTCTAAAACAAATTGTTTATGTTCTGAATTTGACCTTGGTAGATCGACGAGCTGGACTATAAGGATACACGGCTGAAGACCATGTTGGACGTCCAGGAAAAAAACACAAAGTTCCAGATAATCCAACAGGAAAAAGTGCGCAAGGATGTGGACTGTATTAGGAAACAGCTCAGCCACGAACGGGGGCTCAAACTGGATGCCTTCAACCGCGTCGACGAACTCCAGACACATGTAAGTATAATTTGGAATTACTGTGTGACTCGCTCACAGCTGTCGACGTCATACCATTAGTCTAATGAAAGTGCCCTTCCCACACGTTTGATGTGAAACAAGATTTAAACAAAACTTGTGGTCTCTGATGACAGTTGTCGTCCCTGCTTGGATGTAAGTATAGAGACTTCTCTGGTGATGTCATAGGGGAACTGATAAGGGGATATTTAAATGTTTGGAGGACAAAAATAAGACTTTAAGTACATTCGTGTATCTGGTTGAAACGGTTAAACCGGTCGAACCTGTTAAGAAAACGACAGACACAGATCTGGACCGAGGCTGACCTCAGGAAAATTTAGCATGTGTAGATTGAGGGGTCCAGACGTACCCGACCGAAACTAAAATGCTGACTATTGCCAATTTGCGTTATTTCTTTCTAAAAAAATGTCAAGTCACATGTAGTTTTTAAGTTACGTTATGTAATTCAGTGGACGGATGAAAGAAGGTCATAATATTCTTGAAACACTGTTTTTTATTCTCCGAAACTGCGCATTTTTAGCTCTGCTTATAGAACACTCCAAGTGCGTTCGTTTATCGTAGAAAAATTCTGCGCCACACGTACCGTTTCAACTGGGATACACGAATGTAGCCCGGATCTTTCCCTATACAACTTTACCCTTTATTGTCAAAATTTCCTTAAATATTACCAGTACTGGATAAGCTTAAGGCAGTGCAGTGGTGTATTAACAGAAGGTTTGATTTCTTCTCTTTAAATTCGTAATATTTTATGTACACTTGGAAATATCTGGGTCTTTTTCCAAGACCCGTTTGGTCACCAATACAATCATATCAATTTATACAACCAGTTGATGTACTTCAAGATTGCTTTAAACTTCCTGCTGTGTTTGAAAACAGACAAGTGTATTACCACAAAGTTATTACAATTCTGCTAAGACAACACAATTTTCATTTTCGGGTATCAAATTTGTCCTTTAAAAGATTGATTAATTGTACCTTTTGCAAATGAATTTAATGATAAGAACATTTTATTTACCCACACTACTAGGTGTACGACATTGAATCTGCCTTTATGACGAGGACACAGTCAGCTATCACAGCACGACCACAGTCTCCAGCCCAAACAGGTCAGCTTCACGCAATAGGAGGAATAGATTTTTTATCATCAAGGCGTAGAATTTCAGCCATTATAGATCTACATTTAACCTTTAACGATACGTAGTTCCTTGTAGTCAGGACACAAAACTGAGTACAGCATCAATTGGAAATCTGCAAAAATCAACAAATAGCTGTATTATGAAAAGTTCTTTTTTTCACAACCAATAAAATTTTCTGTGTGACATTTCGATGACTAGTACGATATGTACACTGTCACCTTCATCAGACAAATGACCAGTGAAGCGTATGTACACTGTCACCTTCATCAGACAAATGACCAGTGAAGCGTATGCCCACAAAGGTGTACAATGTGTAGGAGTTATCCACAAAACCGATTTCGCAACAGTTTAACTTTTACTTTTTTCACCCTTCACAATGAGGGCAAATTTCTGGTAACAGGAATGTTAGTATAGACATAGTTATGAAATGTGAAGAGTGAAATTAAAACTGGACAAATATTGGTTTTACTGCCGTAGGGCAAAAGTTTGACTGGGCTGAAGTTTCCTGGTACATGTATACAGTACTGTATATGAAAAATGTAAGGCTTGTTTTCTAAATTTCAAAATCTGGTGATTTCAGGCAGCCTTCATACACTAAATTGTAAGTAATACAAAGAATATAATCTGAGCTATGATCAGCTTAAACTTTGTCCTGCCTTCAAGATCTTGAAAATATCTTTTGATTGATGTTTAATTTTGTGGCCAGGAACAGAGGTATTTGTACCGACTTCCCTTACTGTGTAACAAGATTATTTGTACCGACTTCCCTTACTGTGTAACAAGATTATTCATATCCATGGTTTCTCAGTTGCATTGGAGCTATGATTACAAATTTAAAAAAGAACAAAAGATTGCCACAGGTACATTAGTATTCTGGCTGACCACAAAGTTTGTATTGATAAAATTGTAAATATAATTATACAGTATACATAAGTATAGCATATATCAATTGGGCCTTGACCCGGAAAGTCTGACATCTCTATCTTTCTGTCTGTGTGTCTGTCTCTCTATCTCTCTGTCTGTCTATGTCTGTTTGGATTTTGTGTATGTCAGTATCTGTTGTTTTCTTTAATAGCAACTAAAGAAATGTGAAAATTTGATGATGATGATAATGATGATGATGATGATGATGATGATGATGATGCAATGTGTGTTTGTTTTGTATGTGTTTGAATATGTGCTTATGTCATTTTTATGTCATGATTGTTTATGTAAAATCTTTGAAAAGTAAACAATTATGAATATGAAAATCTTAAAGGTCCTTTGATTCTGATTTACAGTCAAGTCCAATAACTCTAAACGAGCTCAGTCTGCCTACGGTACGGCACGGAGTCGGATGTCCAGTCGGGGCACCCCCACCTCCTCTGGGGTGTGGCCTCCACCCGTCTCTTGGCCCGCGGGTCACAGGAGCATGACCGCCGTCCCACCCTCCACACATGACTACAACAATCTCGACAAGAAATCCATACAGCGACCAAAAACTGTAAGTTACCTCCCTGTGTTACAAGGTTTAACATTATAATGAAATATAACTTAATGGAAATAATCTAAACATTTCTCTCCCAAAATTGTAGGAAAACTAAGCATCGCTCTTGTATATTCAAAGACTTTCAGATTAAAAAGCATGACAAAATGTTATTCCAAAGTAATTCTGCTGTTCCATAGAAAAATGTAGCCAAAAAATAATAGTATTTAATTTTTATAAATGTTCTCTGGAATTTCGTTGATTTTGTTTTTTGTTTCTTAAAGGATAATTGTCTTAAATTTTAAATATAGAATATCTTAGGCATTAATTGGTGGCTAGAAAATAGATTTATATTCAAATTCTGATATGGATGTGGTTATTTTTCTTGATAGTCGTACATGAAACAAGTGGTATGGTCTCACTTAGTGTGACGTGTGATATCTATACTGTGTGGGATGATGGAATGTCGGTGTATTTATGTATGCATGTATATATATATATATATATGTTTACTGCATATATATATGCATGATAACTTGTTATATGACAAAGAACAATGGATGAAACACATATTTTACATTCTGCATGAAAAACTGAACAAGACAACAATTCTGAAAATGTTTGGAGATTGACAACTGTATTGAACATCACCTTAGAAATTCAACTTTCAAAACTTTTAAAATTGATCTTGTGAAATGCAGTAACTTATATCACAATTCAAATATTGAATCAGAATGGTTTTCTGTTTTTCCTCCTTTGTCATATAATAAAACAATTAATGTTAAATGCCAGGGTGAATACAGGATTTTATGTACTCAGGTGTATATGATATATATATTGACTTTTTTAATTCATTGTGCTTCTATTTATAAATCAAGTTCCTGGGTTCATAAATATCAATATTCACCTCAGCAGAAGATAGTAATTGTAATCATTTATAGTAGAGTATATATTACATTAGTAAGGATTTGTTCACATACACATAAATATCTATGTCTTTAGTAATTGTTTTATCCAAATTATTGCATGCAGGAGAATTAAGACAAAAACATCTTCTTGATAATATGTGGATGGTCATACTTAACAGATTGTTTTGCAGCACATTCTGTTTGAGGGACCACCTTCACATTATGGAGATAGTGTTCTGTCATTATAGAATTATTTGTCATGGTTTGATAAGATGATACTGGACTATCTCCGATAAATCTTAAATTAGCTAAGGTCTTATGATTAGCTCTAGTGTGAAGTTAATTTATGAAGGCTTGATCAAGTGATAAGTATACAAATACATTTTCTACATACTTATGTGAGAAAGAGACTCTCAAATGTTTTCCTTTTTCTGTTTTTAACACATTCTTTCCAATGTTCGTATTAACAAATTTAAAATATTGTTTTGCCCTTTGTTTGATTGACCAAATTTCACAAATAATATTGCTCTGAGTTTCAAACCTTCTGTGTGTGTATTAACAATTTATCCACTTTTAGTTTTATAAAGGGATAAGACAAGGTGCTCTTTTATAAGGGGTACAGTCCTGTCATCAGAAATGAATGTATGAATTAAACCACATTTTATTTTGTGACTGAAATTTCAGGCACACATATAGACTACCGAGTGTAAGTTTATCTGATGTTAGACTTTTATGTTTCATACAGTTTGGTTTAATCTAATTGTCATTAAAGTTTTCTGTTGGTTCAAGTTTAATTTCTACAATTTTTTGGTCATCCAAATGATTATTTTTTTAAACGTTATATCTAATTGAGACTTAAGCATGTTTATTTAAGTTGGAACATAAAACCAAATGATACATATATATTTATTAATAAATAGAAATGAAGAATATATATGCTATTGAAATGGGTCAGTTTCTGACCTTAGGAAGGAAGGGAAGTACATGTTCTCACATGCTGTACAGTATTATATATCACATGTAATGATTCTTTGGGATTGTGAGGGATGGGCTAGGAAGATTTAGAATTACCCTTCAGGTCAAGGGGTCAGAGGTCAGCTCCACTTCATGAATAACTGTAATAAATTAATCTTTATGTTCATCTTTGTTAATGAACCTTTGATATACACTTCCAGTGTCAATTTGTTATTATATTTGTGATTTATCAGTTTTAGAAATTTTTAATTTGTTTCCGTGCCCGACTCACCAATAGGATACTCGTGTCCATGCCTAATTGTGACACCTTATTATCCCATGTAACTTGTTAATGTGATTTACAATTTTCTCCAATTCCATTCTCACCCGTTTTCCCCTTAATTCAATATAAATAGTGAATCCTTTTAAAAGACTTTTCCAATTTAATTCAATTATCCAGTGTAATTTCCAATCTTAATCAGGATCAAAGTGGTTTTTTGAAAATTAATGTTTCTTATATTTTATGATTTTTTAGGTGCACAGTCGACTGCGGAGTAGAATTGCAGAACAGCTGATGAATGAGCTGGAGTTGGACAATGATAATACGATCATACAGCTGGAGAAATTACAGTTAGATAGTGGCCGACCCAAGGAAACCGCATACTGATTACAGGACAAGGGACATAACTCATGGTCTTATAAATGAAACAAGGCAAGGGACGTAACTCAGTCTTACAGATGAGACAGTCTGGTGAATTTGGTGACATGATTTCCTACTTTTCACACGTGACTTGATAGTGAAACTGAAAAAAAAATAGCTCTTTCCATGCAAATTGCTCTGTGGAATCTTTTTTTTTCTTTTTGAATCAAGGGAAACAAGCACTGCCATGCAACAAAAGATATCACTCCAGAGTCTCAATATGCCAGGGATTATTGCTTTCCAAAAATTCCTATACAATGTTCAAGATGCTTTAATCAGGACTTTGTAGGACTGTTCAAGGGGAAATAACTCCTGATTGCTTGGAATTTTGAAAGCACTTCCCCTGCAAAGATATTGTGAGAGAGATGAAACGTTTTCTTTTTACTAGTTAACATTCAAAGTTGCTGTGAAAAACCTGTAATAAGTTTAACATTTAGTTATACTTCACTTTCTCAATATTTGATATGATTATAAAAAAAAGCATCAAGATGAACACTGAGGTACTAAGATACAGCCTACTAGATGTAAACAAGTTGAAGGAATAATTGTTTCAAATTAAACAGGTGATTTGATTTACCTGCATTTTTGATGATACTAAATTAAGGATAAGATGATTATAAACAATTCTCGGTCAGAAATATAAGGTCTGTTAAATTCTCTTCTGTCAACACAAATAATACCAAAATGATGTGTCAGTAGTGTCACAAACTTCGTGCATGCTACAGTAAAACGCATTGTTGATATTGAACTAGATTTTACTGGTGGCTTTTATGAAGTTCTTTCAGATTTTTGTGTAAAACACAACATATTTTTTACTTTAATTCATATAATGCATGCAATAAGTAAGATGCTAGTGTGTATGAATAAGATGTGACTATAAATACATTTATTTAAATGTTGAATAGACATTTTTTATATTGTTTTGGTATAAGGAAATTTTGAGCTTAAACTTGTTGATAATATATTTTAATATAACATATTCAAAGATTGTGCCTTTTTGTGCCTGTGACAAAAAGTTAAGAATTTACGTTTAAGTAAATATTGTGACCCAAGATATGAATATTAATAATTTTGTATTCTTTTCTAACGGTGTCTGGTGTTTATAACTTATGACGTTATTGTTGTGTTACATTAATGTCATATTTTCGTAAAATTTGCGAGTTTAACTAGATAAAATAATATCTTATGGTTTGTTTTTTGTAAAAATGGATATATTGTGAGAAAATGTAGGATTACCTGAAACTCAGGAATTCAGACTATTCCATCTTTAAGGTATTCAGCTATCAGTTCAAGTCGGTGTTGTCTGTTTTTACATTGGTGCTAATGAATATTCAATACATCTTATGAATATTTATGAACCAAATATTCTATATGGAAAAAAAAAATAAAAAATATATAACTTGAAATTATTATGCATGTATTATAGAGAAATTCTTTTTTAATATGATAATATTTCAACACAGCTGTGATTAAATTAAAAATAATAAGCTATAGATTGTTGTATAAGTACTTGTAATATATCGGCTTTGTATAAGTACTTGCTCCTAGTTCTAGAAAATATTACTTGTGTTGTGATTATATTTGTTGGTATTTTGTTAATTAAGTAAGCAATAGTCACATAATTTACTTTAAATCATATTTGCCAAATGGTATTGCCTAACATACTACTGTATTTTTATTCAATATTTGAAGGTTGTTGTCAGGGTTTTTTTCTTTCCTTTTTTTTATTATCTAAAAATAGCTGAGATTCAAACCATCATTTCAGGGGTCGACCCTTGTTCTTCTCAATAGATTCTGCCTTTTCCCCAAATGAGTTTTGCAAATCTTTTTTTCTATTTGATCAACTTTGGTGAAATGTAGATTGTTATACAAGTATTTGTTGTGTCGTGTCAGTAAAATATCTTTATTTTGTTACCATTGAAATGAATGACCTTGTAAGTGGTTACCATGGAAACATCTGTAATTTGTAACCATGGAAATGATCTGCGGTAACCACGGTAACAAACTGTAAGTTGTAACCATGGTACATGATATAAAAGAAATAATGACATTTAAATACTAGTGCTGCTTCTGTACAAGTTCTGTCTTATACAGGTTTTCTTTATAGACAGGTGGTCACTATGGCAACAGCATTCCGTCCATATTAACGAAGAATAAGTTAAGTGCATTAATGAGTATCTGTGAAACAAAATAGCTACATTTGTAAGTTGTGAAATTACAGATACATGTTACAGCATTATACGAAAGATTTTTATCCTATTTGATAAGTGATACATTTTGCAAATGGTCTACATGTATGCATTTTTTACATATTTTACAAAGCTAACGTAGGGCATATGTTGATTATAGGCCTGGCTATTGCTGTGATAGGAGTAGAGAAAACATTCCAGTTTTAGAATGTATATTGTACTACAGATTTAATAAACAAATGTGAATCTTACCACTGTAGTTTTGATTTCTATTTTATGGAGACTAGTTAGTTTGAGCGATGTGAAGGATCTTTTTGGTTGTTTTCTGGAGGTTTCACTTCCTGTCAACACATAAAGGTCAAACATGACGGATGTCCCTGTAGATACTCCATGGAAGATAGCAGCAGAAAAAGTTGGGAAAAAAATAAAATTTTGAGTGTTGCAATGTCGTGAGTGGAACAATTATGGTCACTTGAAACAGAGGATACAGAAAACAAGAAATAACCCTCATCAACTTCCCAGGTAGGTAGACAGTTCATGATGAGATGCCCAGTTATAATGTAGCATATTTTACATTCGTGAATGATACGGGGCATTTCAGCTCATATTTCTTTATTCCCGCAAGAATCATTCAAACTAAATGTATAAAGCCACAATTTGCATGGTGTAAACTTTTGTAGTATTCTCGCCAATTCTTCTTAAAGGCGTCAATCTTGTCTAAAAAGTAGGTCAAATTCAAAGACTGTCTTGAATTAATTACCTGTATTATAGAAAGATAGAAATAGCAAGAGATAATTTCTTCTTAACGTAATAATCACTTAAGTGTAAAATTCAGCTTCCGTAACATGCATTCTGTAGATCACCCACAATGCATCAGGATGCAAGCATTTATGCAAAGATGGATGCGAAAATCCTTCCCACTCGTCTGCATGGACAGAGTCACGTTTAGATATTCCCAGCCAATGAGATAAAAATCAGATTACAAAGGGACTCCAGTACCATAAGTTGCCTCTTTCAATAATACAGTGATATATTTAGTCGCTTGTTCATCACCAAACCTGTAGAGTAAAGATCTATCAGACACGGTCACAGAGTTCTGTCACACGGGTTTCAAAACGTCTATCTGTAAAAGATCTGGTAAAGGGACATATATATCATTATACAAGGAAACAGGTAAAGGACTACATTGATTGGTTTAGAGTGTGTCATGTGACATGTGATTAGTTATCATTATACATTATTAATCTGAAAATAACCAAGAAAAAACATCAGATATTTAATACAACTACATGTACCGGTACATACAGTATATAGGATATTTTCTGTTTCTGTAATTTGTTTCGTATGATATTTTTAAGAATAATATAATTTCCATTTTATTGAAATTGAAATCAATGTTTAAATTTTGACAAATATAGATCTTTAATGGCTTCTTTGCATATAAAAAGTCTGGTGCCACTTTACGTATCAAAAGTTTGTTGGTTTTGCTATATGATCCTAATCAGTTTCATGTTTGATATTTTTTATGGGAAAATGAATCTACAATTACTACCGACACTATCAACCCCAACAATGACAAGTCCACCGCTGACGATTCAAGCGCTGACAATTTTTACTGTCACAATGATAAGCGTCGACCATACTGGATTTAAGCCTCGAAACCATTCAGCTTTCAGAAGTCAGACATTCTATTTGTGGAGTGAAAGTAATATTTTACTGATCTTGTCGCCAACGTTACAGCCGACATATTGATGATTGAGCAATGACATATATTGATGTATCTTTCCTTTTTCGCTATAAATGTAATTACAGTTGTCAGTTTCAATAAGAAATATACGCCTCACACACTAACAATGCACAGGATTTCTGCAACCTAGCTAGACGACTTTAATATTTTGGAAGCTTGAGTTTCTACTGTGTACCAAGAAAATTCTGCCCATCGTCCCTGAAATCTATTTCCACCCAGTGTTAATTTCGCCCTTCACATTAGATTATATTTACATGGTGTTGATAACAGAAATCACGGGGATAACTAATTTGCCCTGATTATGAAGGGCAAAAATGCTGGAAATCAAACTGCAGCAAACAATTTTCTGGTATACAGTAATAACGAAATAAAAAATCAATCAGCTAGTGCTAAGAACAACACCTGACCTTTGGTAATAGATAAGTACAGGATATATTCAGGGGATAAACCTTTACAGCAGGCGAGCATCTTAAAACAGACAACCACTAATCTGGTGATGCCACTCAAGCCACCACTAATCTGGTAGTGTCACTCAAGCCACCACTAATCTGGTTGTGCCACTCAAGCCACCACTAATCTGGTTGTGCCACTCAAGTCAACATTAATCTGGTAGTGCCACCCAAGCCACCACTAATCTGGTTGTGCCACTCAAGCCACCACTAATCTGGTAGTGCCACTCAAGTCAACACTAATCTGGTAGTGCCACTCAAGTCAACACTAATCTGGTTGTGCCACTCAAGCCACCACTAATCTGGTTGTGCCACTCAAGTCAACATTAATCTGGTAGTGCCACCCAAGCCACCACTAATCTGGTTGTGCCACTCAAGCCACCACTAATCTGGTAGTGCCACTCAAGTCAACACTAATCTGGTAGTGCCACTCAAGCCACCACTTATCTAGTAGTGCCACTCGAGCCACCACTAATCTAGTTGTTCCACTATCAAGCCACCACTAATATGGTTGTCCTACTATCCAGCCACCACTAATATGGTTGTCCCACTATCTAGCCACCCCTGATATGGTTGTCCCACTATCTTGCCACCACTCATCTGGTTGTCCTGCTATACAGCCTCCACTTATCTGGTTGGCCTACTATCCAGCCACCACTAATATGGTTGTCCTACTATCCAGCAAGTGCTAATCTAGTTGTCATACTATCCAGCCACCACTAATCTAGTTGTCCTACTATCCAGCCACTGCTAATCTAGTTGTCATACTATCCAGTCACCACTAATATGGTTGTCCAACTATCCAGCCACCACCAATATGGTTGTCCTACTATCCAGCCACCACCAATATGGTTGTCCTACTATCCAGTCACCACTAATATGATTGTCCTACTATCCAGTCACCACTAATATGGTTGTCCTGCTATCCAGCCACCACTAATATAGTTGTCCTACTATCCAGCCACTGCTAATCTAGTTGTCCTACTATCCAGCCACCACTAAAATGGTTGTCCTGCTATCCAGCCACCATTAATATGGTTGTCCTGCTATCCAGCCACTGCTAACCTAGTTGTCACACTATCCTTCCACCACTAATCTGGTTGTCCTGCTATCCAGCCACCACTAATCTGGTTGTCCCAAAAATATTCTGCGGCAAAACCTGAAGGAGATTACTAGACTTTAAAAGTACACACAGTTTTCAGATGGATTAATATAAGTTCTTTGGGGACAAATATTCCACGAAATTACTTGAACTTTAAAGGTTTGGTAATATCCCCTGGGATTGAAACGGAACTTTAATTAAGGTAGAGGGTTAACTTGAGGAGCACACGAAATTATTTAAGATTAAAAGAAAATGAATTTTACAGGAACTGCAGTTGCTGAATAAACACGGGTGTTTTTCTAATTATTGAATATTTGCTCTATCATTAAGATGTATTTTTGTCTAAAACAAATAAGTTCGTTTAATTTGCAATCATGAAATTACATGTCTTAATGGAGTATGTTCAGCAGTGAAAGACTTCATTTTAAAATCGACATGAAACAAAGTAAATTTTATTCAAATCAAATTTATACTTATGCTACATCAGAGATGTCAGCTGATAGATTCTTAATATATTTACGATAAATCAAAAGAAAGAAATAATCAACAGAAGTTTGTAACAAAAACTCTGAATGGCATTTCTTATTTTAAAAACATGACTTTGGAAATCAACAAATTAACCTTACAAGAATGTATCTATATATAAATCCTTAAATCCTTCAATAAGCCAGTTAGGAGCCAAAAAATAACCTCTGACTCAAAGTAAATGTCATTATCTCCACTCGACAATGAAATAAAATGTTGACATTTCCAAATGTAAATGTGGGTTTATTGGTAATAAACATGGGCCTATTGCAGGATAAATATGGTATATTTATATTCTATACACTAGGAGAAGGGAGGGGGGTGGGGGGTGGGGGGGGTGGAGGGTTAATTGTAGGGAAATGAGTGGATACACCTGAATGTGAAGTGTGCAGGAAAAACCAGATG